TGATGATCTAGTAAAGGAGACTGGAGAGAGCAGCTGAGAGTGAGCAGCATCACAAAAACTCATGGAGGGGAGGGGTGTCTCAGAGGAGATGCTGGCCAACTGTCAAATGCTAAAGAAAGGTCAAAAAGAATGAAGACCAAGAGGTCATCATATCTGCCAACTAAGGGGTCACTGGGCAGCTTGGAGAGAGCAGTCTGTTGAGAGATGAGGTCAGAAGATAGACTGCAAGAGATTAAGGAGTGGAAAGTAAAAAAAACAGAGCTCAGCTAGGAAAGGAAGGAAAGATTTAAGATGCTAGTTTGAGGAGAGGGGAGGATCAGGCACCTACAACTACTATCTCTCTCCATCTCTCCAGCATTCTGTTTCACTATTCCTCCACCCTTCAACAGCAGCCAGGCCTCCCTCATTGTCCCTTACAAATATCCTACTTGCTCCTGAAGTTACGACTAAAATCTGTCTTCTCAGGTCTACAAAAGTGTTTGTGCCAGGAGCCAATGCTACACCCCTTTCCTTTGTTAAATTTCACAGAAAGTAGCTCTAGGCCTCCCCAAGGGATTATGGAAAGGCAGTTAGGGAGGACCTGGGAGGGAGAGGCCCAATAAGAAATGTTGGCAAGAGACACATATTATTCTGGAGGACAGAAGGCAAACTAATGATTTACCACAAATCTACACGAGGTTAGACAGAGACTTGCTTTTTAAGGGACAAGGTGAGTGTTTTTAAAGCTCCAACAAGAACTCTTATATGAGGGTTGGGGCTGTGGGAACCATGTACCAAAAAAAAAAAAAAAAAGTAACTGCAGTTGATGAAGGTAATGGACTATTACTATGCTGTAAATAAATGATGAATATGATGATACAGAGAAGTATGAAAAGACTTACATGAAGTGATGTAGAGTGAAGTAAGCATAGCAAGAAAATATGTCTATGATAATGAAAATGAAAAAAAATACAGAATAATCAAAACGGAATGTTGCAAACTTATAAAGGACAAGCATTTCCCCAAAGAAAAGATATGAAGGGCAGCTAGGTGGCACAGTGAATAGAGCACCACCCTGGAGTTAAGAGGATCTGAGTTTAAATCCGGCCTCAGACACATAACACTTGCTAGCTGTGTCACTCTGGGCAAGTCACTTAACCCCAATTGCCTCACCAAAAAATAAATAAATAAAATAAATAAAAAATAAAAATAATATCTTTCTCATTAAAAAAAAAAGAAGAGATATGAGAAGACACTGCCATATCAATATTTTTCAGAGGTGGGAAGTCTAGTTCAGTTTTTCAGTCATGTTTGACTCTTCGTGACCACATTTGGGGTTTTCCCAGCAAAGATACTGGAGTGGTTTTTCCTTTCCAGTTCATTTTACAGAAGAGGAAACTGAAGCAAAGAGTTAAGTGACTTGCCCAGGGTCACACAGCTAGAAAGTGTCAGAGGCTAGATTTGAACTCCTAAAGATGAGTCTTCCTGACTCCAGGCCCAAAGCTTGATCCACTGCAGTGCCACCCAGCTGTCCCGGGAAGTCTAGGGGGTGAAACATTACATACAATTTCAAATTTTTCTACGTATTGATTGATTTTGCTAGGGGCGGGGTTCTCTTTCTCTTTTTTTTCCCCTTTAGGTAAAGGGCTTCCTGGCCTTCCATCGAAGCCTGTGGATCATGACCTCAAGACACAAATTCCACAGCTTTTGGCTTGCCTGTGCCCAGGCATTCCTCCACCCCAAATGCTTTCTAGCTACTCACTGTCTGAACAAGTCCACCCAGACTGCTTCTATAAATAATGATAGCCTGCCCAAACTCATTCCTTAATGATTAACATGCTCTCACCACATCATTCCCTCCCCATCCCAGTGATTCGGAACACCCAGTGGCCACTGCTCAAATTTTATCCTTGGCCTCCACTGACTATCCTTGGCTGGGTCTCCATCTAGCTCACACACGCTAACAACCATGAGTGCCCTACAGGGTTCTATTCTGAGCCCTCTTATCTTCTCCATTTATCACATATCACTTGTTCAGTTCAACTGTTCCCATGGATTCAACTTTCATTACTAAGATGGCAGCTAGGTGGTAAAATGGATAGAGAGCTAGACCCTGGTCAGGAAGACCTGAGTTCAAATTCAGGCTTTGAAACCGTGAGGTTGGGCAAGTCGTTCAACCTGTCTCAGTTTTCTCAAATGTAAGATGGGAAAAATAATAGCAATCTAACTCCCTGAGTTGTAAGGATTAAATGAGATATTTGTAAAATGCTTAGCACAAATACTTGGCACACAATAAGCACTTAATAAATGCTTGTTTCCTTCCTTCTATACAGATGATTCTCAGATTTATTTGATTTCTGATTCTCAGACTTATTAATTTTATTTTGCGCCTGACCTCTAGAAGCACAGTTGCAGCTGCCCATTGGACATTTCAAATTGGATCTTAAAGACATCTTAAATTTGACATGTCCAAAACTGAACTCATCATTTTTCCCCCAAAAAAGCCCTCCCCTCTTCCTAACTTCCCTATTACTTGTTGAGGCTAACACCACTCTTCCAGTCACCCAGGCTGGTGACACGTAGGGGTCAAACTCCACTCCTCACTCTCCCACACTGCCAGCCCCCCACCCCCCACACCATCACTAGCCAAGTCCTCTTTACCACCTTCACATCTGTCATCTATGCCCCCCCCTTCCCTCCTCTGACACTGCCACCATCCTGGTTCAGGCTCTTATTGCCTCATGCCTGGACTATTGCAAAAGCCTACTGGTCCATCTCCCTGTCGAAATGTCTTCCTCAATCCAATCTATCTTCCATTCAGCTGCCATATTGATCTTCCTAAAGCAAAGATATGATCATGTCACACTTGTCACCACCATGACACGCTCATATCTGACTCTGGTGGCCCCCAATTCCCTCTAGTATCAAATATAAAATCCTTAACTTTTAAAGCTCTCCTGGTTTCTCCCTGCCTCTCCAGTCTTCTTATACTTCACACACCACCCACCCCTCTAAAAACCCGGAGAACCAGTGACACTGGCCCACTGGCTGCTCTACAAACCAGTCACTCTCTCTTGTCTCAGCTCTGGGCACTCTCACTGGCTGTCCCCCATACCTAGAACATTCTTCCCTCCTCACCTCTGCATCCTGGCTTCCCTGGCTTTTTTCATGTCTCAGCAACTACCCCATTCTACAAGAAGTCTTTCTCAATCTGCCTTCATACTAGTGCTTTCCTCGGTTGACTGTCTCCAATTTATCTCATGTATCTCTTATTTGTAAATAGCTGTTTGCATATTATCTCCATTAGACAGTGGGCACCTTGAGAGCACACTGTCTTTTGACTTCCTTTGTATCCCCAGTAATTGGCACATTGCCTGGCACATAGTAGGCACTTAATGAATACTTGGTGATTAACCAGTTACATAGGATGGCTCTTTGGGAGGAGGAAAATGTAGGAAAAAAGATATCAATAAAAAATTTATTTAAAAAAAAAGAGTAAGAAGTGTAACTCCTGTGTAGAGATGGAAGGCACAGTGGGGTGAGACACTGCCTATAATACTAGATTTTGTGGAAGAGAAACTGTGGGAAACAGCCAGAACCAAACAATGCTACACAAAGAAGTTTCATGGTTGAAACACTGATTCCCAGGGAGCAAACCTGCATAACCCTCTCCATCCCCACTGGAGGCATAACCAAAGTAGCACATGAAAACCAAACCGGGCAGGGAAAGGATGCTAACTAGCAGGTACCTCCATTATGTTTATAAGCTCAGACAGAAGTTCTGATTCCATTACCTTGTATACAGGAAACTATTCCTTTTTTTATTCTTGTGATCCCGGTGCTTGGTAAGGGGAGATGGCATTTACTCTTAGACGAGGGCAGAGGGTTGATACTAGCATTCCCAGGTCATCCAAGTGGAATAATAAACCAGACAAGTCAGAGGCTTCCCCAAGCATACTTAGGCCTTATGTATCAGGGTGATATTCTAACACAAGAGTCAGACTTCCAGCTCTAAATCTTTGATTATATTGTTCCCCCATCTAGAATATCTTCTGCCTACCTCTCCACCTAACTGAATACTCTCCATCCTTCAAGGCCCAGCTCAAAATCCACTGCTGTCCTATTCCATGAAATCTTTCCCTGACCAGAGTCCATATGCAGGTCTATATCCTCAGAACTCACTGTTACCTATTTCCCATATCTTTCACCTTGACATTTAACTACATAATGCTTTGCGTCGTTTATCAAGTTGTTCCATGTGTATGTTCTCCCCAACTAGATTGTAAGTAAACTCTTAGAGAACAAGGACTGGTCTTATAACTCTCTTGCATTCATTCCCCCATAGCACCTAGGAAGGCAGCCTGCCCAGGTGGAAAGAACACTGGACTGGGAGACACAGGAGTGGCTCCAATTCCCGGCCCTGCCCCTCATCACCTAGGTAACCCTGCATAAATCATCTCATCTCTCCTCTCAGAGCCTCATTTTTCTAATCTGCAAAATGAGGAAGCGGGCCTAACTGGACTCCAAGATCCTTTCCGGTTTTAAACCCACAACATTATGTGTGAATACAAAAGGGACATTATGCTGATTATTAGTCAAAGCCTCATACTCAACTGCAAGGATATCTACACCTAAGACTCAAATACAACTCTACTTTCTCCACATTCCTGCAATAGCACAGTAGAGAGCTATAGCTATAAACCTGCAGAGCCTCTGTCTTCTTCAAAGGTCAGAATACAACGCATATTGGACCATGAGTGTTACATAGAGAAAAATGTTGCTCCCTAACATGGACTAAACTCTGAGTCTCAAGTCCCATGTAAATCTGCAGGTGGACACTACGGAGTTCTGGTCAGGACCCCCAATGGCTCAGAATAGCTAATCACTCTTACTGGGAAAGAGATTACAAATGCAAAACTTGCTGATGAGAGGAAGCAGGCGTCATTACAACAATATGTCAATACATCTGTGGAAATCAGCATTCTCTTCCTTTTAAAAAATGACAAGCATTTATACATATATATAATATATAGATATATTCATTTATTTGTTGCACCATATTCCTAACAGCACTTTCCCCCTTTGTATTATAACCCGGAAGAAAAAAAGAACTCAAAAGATTAATTTCACTCGGAACATTGTGCTCTGTTGAAAAAAAAAATACAAAAACGAGTAATAGAGTTTGTAAAATTCATAACAGGATAAAATAAAGAGTTCACCAAAATAATTTGTTGGTGTAACATGGGAAGCTCTAATAATGAAATTGCAACATGAAACTAAAGAAATCAACATATCCAGAAAATACAATAATATCAGAAACTGAAGGAGTATTTTCCTGAGGGCACAAAGGCTACTGGGCACCTCCACCTCCATCTCTCCCAGAATCCAGGGCCAGCCCCAGCGCTAGAAGGACACACTTCATCACCAAGGCTAAAAACATTACACAATGTTTCTATTCGTACTTCCAGAAAAGGAAACATCACCCAGTGGTACAAATGTCTATCACCAAAACATACAAACCCAACACTTCACAATTACATTTAAACTTTTTTAAACTACTAAAAATTAAAAATCAATTCAATAGGAAAGTCCTATGAAATATTAAAATCCATTTGTCAATGGGAAAGCACAGGCTTTTCACAAATCTGGTTCAATGAGCTATGACATACTAGCACAGGCATATCTAACACAGTCTAACAGTCACTCAGCTGCAGAGTTTGTAGCAATCAGCTACGAACAGCTCTGGGACTAGAGCTACACCTAGACCCGTCTAAGGACCTGCTGATGCTCAATGAGAAATCAGCATCTCCTGAGGAACTGTCCAAGGTGCAGAGTAAAACATAAGCTACATTATTAAAGTCCTGAGGTTCACCTTCCCCTTGAGGAATGAACAAGATCATTCAGCAGATCCACTTGAAAGCTCTCATCGTGAATCTAAAATCTCTGTCACCCCTCAGGATAAGGAACTATTTGATAGTATTTCAGTTTACCTAGACCACCAGCCAGGCCCTCAATTTCCTCTTGGACATCATCCTGTCACTGAACGATGGTCATAACATATACACGTGCACTCCTATATACAGTTTATGTGTGTTTGTGTGTTTGCGTGTGTAGTCATACACACATTCAAAGTCTCTCTTTCCTAGATATACATATAGATAAATAACCCCACCCCCAAAGCTACCTTTTCCTCTAAAATCTAGGATTACCCTCCAAGTTGTCAAAGATGCAGGATAAAAGATCTCAACTGCTCAAGAGGGAAATCATTTACCTCTACCACTTATAAAGTACTTTGTGTAAGTTTCCTTTGTGAAAGAATCCTCAGTATTTAAATGATTTTTGAAGATAGGAGAGTTCTATGTACAAATGTGTGTCAGAGAGATGCACAATTCAGTCACGTTTAGAAATTCTGAAGCTCAGGAATATTCTGGTACAAGTCTAAGGACTCAGGGTTGGAGAAAGAGCCACGCTGTTCCACTGACTTCCCAGCAACGATGTGTTTCACCGCAACTTCCACTTTCTTCCCATTAATTGTATACTGTAAGGTAAGAGAAAAGGGAAAAATTCAGAGCGCACTCCTCGGTAAAAAACCCTCCCCGCCACGTGTACGTCCTTTTGAAGAAAATCACCTGCACTGTTCAAACAAGGACTTCTGTATCCGACCACGTGCCACACACCTTAGTCTGTCTAAGACCTTAAGCCTTCAGGGGAACATAATAAGTTGCCTTTCATTCGGAAGAACGCCTTCTCCTCCTGAAGTTTACTCTGCCATCCAGAAGCTGAGCTCAACTCGATGTAACAAACCCTGGTGCAGTACCTATCATGTACAAGGCACTGAGTGACACACTGAAGACAATCTTTGTCTTAATAGTCCCCAGGCTCTCTCTCTCTCCCGGAAGACGGGACAGAGAGAGAAACATAACACAAGAGAGGGAGAAAAGAGTTCTGGAAAGCAGAGATTGGATAAATTACTCTAGAAATATCTTTCTATCACTAAAATCAGGGGGATTATAGAAAACTACACAGAGAGAGTGACACCTGAGTTGAACCCTGAAGGAAGAGAAGAAATTCCAAAGGTGGGGGTGAAAAGGGAGTGCATTCTTTACCAACCCCACTCCTTTCCTTACTGAAATAAAAGCACCAAACTATTAGGACATCAAGAGTCAATCTGACTAAGCCTATTACTCCAATGTTACAAGTGAATTCAGTCTTCATCACTGCACAGGGCTTCAGGACCTTCTGTTCAACAACACCTGGGGAAGAACCTAAATCATGGCAGAGACCTTGGCTTCAGAAAGTTTAGAGTCAAACACAGAAAGCACAAGAGTTGTTCTTTCTTCCTGGTCACTTCTCAGGGTTCAGACTCAGAGACTAGAAAGTAAAATGAATGTGTTTTGTCAAAGTGAGATTCCCAATTCCTACAAAACCAAGAAAACCTTCCTGGAAGAACCAACTTTCAAAGAGTAGAGAAGTTGGGGAGAGCTTAAAAGCAGAGATGTCAACAAACCTACAAGAAATAAGGCTGCTAAGGTCACCAAATGAATGAAACAAGATAAATTAATTTCAAGGTAATTCTTCAATACTGTCCTTTTCGCCATCAGGTCTAACTGTTAACAATTCTAGTAGGAAAGTTCTTCTTGAAGTTCTTAATTGTATTAGCTTTCTCTAGAAATATATCGTGCATGGGGGCAGCTAGGTGGTGCAGTAGATAGAGCACCGGCCCTGGATTCAGGAGGACCTGAGTTCAAATGTGGCCTCAGACACATAACGCTTACTAGCTGTGTGACCCTGGGCAAGTCACTTAACCTCCATTGCTCACAAAAAATATATATATATCTTGCATAAGCTTCCCACCCTCACCCACCACTCCCCACTCCCCATTAAAATTGGATTTAAGTAACTAACAAATGTGGATGGGTTAAGAAACTTTCTTTCAGAGCAAAGCCATCGAACATAGAATACAGCATGGTATCAGCATGATCAGTTTACCACGGACGCATTTTTACCTGAAGCATAATTAAAATTCAGTCATTTGAAAAAGTCCGTCAATGTGTGAACTAATTAATGATCTAAGCAGTGATGCCCCAAGGCCTGCCTGTTATCTACACCACACTGCCAACATCTTATTTCTCGCCTTTAAAGTCGAATGTCTCCTGTGCTGTATAGACTTAAGTTCTATACAAAAGGGCCCTAGGGACCAAAAATATGCCTCTCTTGTCAGTCAGGAAAATAAATAGACCGTCACTGAAAGATAAAGTGTGCTGCTTTTGCCTTTACTGGAAAAATCACAAGCTTCAGCCTCTCTTGGTTTCTGGATAGGTTAGTGGTCACTAATGGTGACAAATGTCTTAATTCAACTATCTGCATATGGTGAGAGGACTTGGAGAAATTGAAATATTAAGTCCAAGTCCTCACTGGCCCACTGGGCTCTGTGGGAGGGAGATAAAAATAAATCATTTTGTTCTACGGGGCCTCTCGTCCCTAAGTGGCATGCCAGGACTGAACAAATCCAATCCAATTTTCTAAGTACTTAATATGCATCTACTACGAGCTCAGAACTGTTTTACAAAGTATTGTGTGTGGTTGGGAGACAGGAGAGATTCAAAAAAGAAGACAATGCAGACCTAATGGTAAAAATAAATCACAACTACAGGAATTTAGATCAGAACAAGCTAAGTGTGGGCTGGCGTCTTTAGAGAATACTCCATGGAAGAGAAGGACCTTGAGCCAGGCCAAGAGGAACAGACACATCTGGAGAAATGAATAGGACAAGAGTGCATTCTAAAAAGAACAAAGTGGCAGAAATGAGAAGGCACCATCCAAAAGGTGTCAGAAATACAACATTAAAGTAGGAAGGGCCCTCAGAAATCATCCGGTCCAGCCTGTCCCTTGACCGCCCCAGCCCCACTTCAAGAAGACATGCATACTATCACACTGTTAGGGGAGCTGTGAATTGGTCCAGCCATCCTAGAAAATAATCTGGAAAAAAGATTACTAAAATGTCCACACCATTTGACCCAGAAATCCTACCACCAGGCAAGAGCTCCAAGGAAATCAAAGAAAGAAAAAGAGAGAACTCAACTCCAGCAAAAAACGAGGTACGAAGTACCTAGTACCTACAACAGAAGGGCCTCCCCCACTCCAAATTACTTTGTACTTGCTTTGTATGTATTTATATTTTTATCTGCTGTTTCTTCCAGTAGAGTGTAAGCTCCTTAAGGACAGGGGTGGTTCGCCCAGCACAGGCCCTGGCACGTCAGAGGTAACTGAGAAATCCTTGCTGACAGATCAATGGATCATTATTGCACTTTGATAAGTGACCCATAAGAAGAATTCAAAGAAACATGGGAAAACTTATATGAACTGATAGGACATAAAGAAAGCAAAACTAGAAAAACAAAATATAAAACTCCAACAATGTAAACAGAAAAAGCAATACAGAAACTGAATGCTGTCTGATTACTATGAAGGGGGTCAATCCGGAAGAAGAGCTCAGAAGATGCACCTACTTTCCGCCTTCATCAGAGAAGTGGGAGACTGAGGGTGTGAAATGTAAATGCTGTCAGGCACACTCGATATGCGAGTTGTTCTCCTAAAGTGTTTTTTTTTTCCTTTGTTACAAAGAATTACATCCCTCATTGGATGTGGAGAATGAAAGGACACATCTGTAAATGAAAGTGAGATCAAAACAACAGGTTCTTAAGCCCCAAAGAGGGAAAATGACTTACTCAAGGTCACCCAGTGAATTCACACCAAAGACAGGCCAAGGGCCCAGGCTTGATGCTCTCATTACAGTTTTACACACAGCAGCAGACACTTGATATACTTCTGGTTTGTGAATTTCTGGATATCAACTATCCTCACCCACTCTCCATAATCACATTCCGAACCCATATTAACTATCAGGTTTCCTGACACATGATTAAAAAGAAATCCTAACAGTTTGAGATACTTTGTTTTTTAAGCAAAAGAAAGAAACTCAAAGTTGTCAGAGAAAGAAAACAGTTTTAGTGATCTGAAAAATTTAATGGAATTACAGTGTTCAATATTTCCTAATAATGCATTTCTACGGCTAAATAACGTTTACACATTCACACCAACTTCTGGGCAGCATTTTATTTTGTTTTTCTCACAGTGGATCAACTTAATTTCAAAAATATGTTAACCAGGTGGTGTTTTCTTGCGGCCTTTCCTTGAGAGACATAGATCCTGTAAGCTTAAAATACACAACACTGTTTGTACACAAAGGCATGTATGTACACACATGCTCAGCACTTTGTATTTTAGGTTTACAGAATGCTCTCATTTTACAAGCAAATGAGAGTTAAAGCTGCTCTCCAATCTGGGTGAATTCCTACTCTTGTCTCAAATGAAAATCTCAGCAGATGGAAATCAAAAAGGGAAGCCAGCTTTCTCCAGCTATACTTCTAAGGAACCTCAATCTATACTTTCCTTCTTCTTCATAGTTTAATATCAAACCTAAAGGAGAAAGACTACCTTGGAAGCTCTAAAAAGTCACAATTCATCTTCTGAACAATACTTCCAAAAAGGCACAAAAATCGTATTCGTGAAAAACAGGTCTTTCTATTGGGCTGTACACACATCCAATGGGCGTACATGCTCATCACAGACAGTTTAAACGCAGTCTCTGGAAAGTAAAAGAAAACAAAGCACTCGGCAACGCAGAGAAGCTACGCAGAAAACAAGCACAGCCCTTAGCTGCAGAGACTTCCTGCACATCTGCTCCAAGGTAGATGACAAGTACCCAGTGGTTATGCCAAAAGTGACAGAAAAGACAGTCACCTGAGAGAGGACTCCCCAACCTACCGGGATGTCTTTGGTCTCCAGAATGAGGCTGGGGACATGCCTGGCTGACAAGCCAAGGCGAATGGCATCCTTAATCCTCTTCACCAAGTCCTGACTGAATGAGTGCTCAGGAACCATCTTCAGGAACAGGATCACTCTCTCTTCCCCATCCTTGTTGTACTGTGGGATACAGAGGCTGTCCATGACTTCCTCAAAGGCTTCAACTGTGGAATACAAAAACAACCCCCACATCTTGTCAACTCTCCAGCTTTGGGTTTTACCCCAGTCTAAGTCTCTCCAATTTACCTCAAGGGTAGATTTCCTCCCCTTCCCCTCTCACTTCTTTTTCTACTCATATATACATATGCTCAGCAATCCAGGGACTGACAATCCCAAAGGTAAGCCTCCAGGACCCACTGCATTGCTTCTCTGTGGCTCATGAGACCCAGAAGGACTCAGGTGAATAGTACAAAAGGAAGCTCTTCTGCAAAGACTGCAATTGTACCAGAAGAAACATTTGCTAATACTTTGGCCTTTATGGTGTAAACAGTAACCTGTTTAGTCCATCACAACCGTAACAGACCTGAAATTCTCTCTATCTCCACATACTACTTAATGCTGTTCCCTACAAATCCCTGAGAGTTTGGGGAGAGGAATGAGAGCAATTCATTGAGATTTTCAAAAGGAGATTATACATGAAAATATGCTTTGTATAACTAAGATTAGCCTAGCTAACAGTTCATAACAACATGGGCCTCTTTCTTCACCTGCATTATTATGCTCTATTGTTAAAAGGAAACTTCACACAGTTGTCACTGTTAACCATATTTAGGCTGCAGTTATTTTTCCTGCTGTTGGCTGCTACATAGGAACTTAGCCGAGAAGGAATAGCACCTGAAAAGGATGAGGCAGAGTCCCCTAAAAAAGCCTCATACACAATGGAACTAAAAAGATAAAAACTGTGAACCAAACAGTATTTGTTATGGCCAAATACTTAAGTAAAAACAACTGCCAGGTGTTTTAATTTCCAAGGCACTGGCTGAAATTCAAATATAAGCATCTACTGCTTTAGGGGATGGTTTATATGTCCCACAAAATTGGCCATTTAACAAATTTTCTTTAAAGAAATACGTGGCAAAAGGGCCCGGGAGGCCTGAAACCCAAGTTCTTGATCCAGCTGTGCCATTTATTAGGGACGTCAGTTTTATTTGTAAAATGAAGGATTTCAACTCAATCTTCTCTAAAGTCCACTCCCACTCCATGAAACTATGTATCTATCTAAGCCTCAACTGGTTGGACCTAGTGCAAAATTCACTTGAGTCAGGAAAGCTGGGCTCTAGAATGTTCCAATGCTAACTGGTGTGTAACTGGCTTTGCCATTGCACTCATAATCAATCACTTCTCCTTCACTTGCAGATGACATTGATTATCCTTTCAACATATTATGAGACTAAAACTAGATAATTCTTAAAAGCACTTTGGAAAGCAGAAAATGGGAAGAAGCCTCAAACATGGTGGCAAATGAGCACGTGACTTGTTTAGGAATAAAAACAAGGGACTTGGAATTTCTGAGTTCTGGACTACAAAGACTCCCCCACAATATTTCTTTTTGCTAGTAGAGGCCAACTGGTAAGTGAAACAGGATTCATACCAATATTATAAATTTCAGAGCTGCCAAAACGGACTCCATTAGGGTTGAGTGTACCATCACTGAAAATAAAAACAAAGACATTAACCCAGAGCTGCTCCTCAGAGAGGTGGCAGGGAATGAGCTGCTTCTCATAACCATCATCAGCCATGACATTTATAACCATATACAGAGTTAAAAGTCACACTCAGAAAATCTGAGGTCAAATACCAAGACTTTCAAACGAGATCTTAGTTAACAACTTTCCACCTTCATGCAGTAATTATCCAATGTCTCCACTGGAGAGTCAGGAGAGAACTAGCTTTGAATTCTGCCTCCAACACTGATTAGCCGTGTGACCCTGACAAGTAACTTAACTTGTCTGCGCCTCAGTTATTTCATCTCTAAAATGGAGTTAATAATATCTGTTAACATCTACAGCACCCAGGGTTGTTGTGAGGATCAAATAACATAAAGTGTGTAAAACACTCTGAAAACATTAACATACTATATAACTGGGCCATTAATGACACTCTTACTCAATCCACTCAGGATTTCTCACTCCAATTGCTCCAGTCCCCATAAGGAACAACAGGCTGGCCTGAACTGGTATCCACACTCCCCTACATGTCCTTAGCAAAACACCACTAAGAATACGCAGGTGTGTCAAGCTTTATGATGCAAGCTGGAAGGAATAAAAATTAACTCAACAAACAATTATTACTAAAGTGACCTCCCTGCCCTCAAGGAGTTCACATTCTACCAGGAGGATAGAACACCAAAACAGATACAAGTTACAGACAAAGTAATTTCAGGACAAGAAGAGCATTCACCGCTGAGGAGGGAAGGTAGGAAGACGAGAAAGTCACTCGTAGGAGGTAGCACTGATTCGAGCCTTGAGCCAGAGACTCTAGAAGGAGGAGGGGGACAGAGACTGTGTTCCAGGCAGAGGAGTCATACTGAACAAAGACAAAGGCAGGAGATGAGGAGTAAGAGGCGGACCAGTCTGGCAAGAACAGAGATTAGGGAAGGGGGAGTTAGGTGGGAAAAAAAAATGAGGTAAAGTGAGCTAAAGCCAGACAGTGAAAGGCCTTAAGTGTTGAACAGAATAGTTTCTGTTTTATTCTCTAGGCAAAAGGAAGCTCTAAGCTTTCTAATAAGGGCAACGACATGGTAAGACTTGTGCTTTAGGTAGAATTTCCAGGCAGCTGTGTGAAGGACGGATTGGAGGGGAGAGGACGGAAGTAAAGAGACCAATTAACAGGCCTCTGCAACAGTCTAGCTAAAAGGCAATGAGGGGCCAAACTAGAATAATAATAGCAGTAGTAGTAATAACAATAATGAAAATAATAACTAGCATTTATATAGTACTATAGTATAGATTTACAAAGCACTTTACAAATATTAACTAATTTAATCCTCACAAGAATTCTGGGAAATGGATGCTGTTTGTTATTAGCCCACCCATTTTACAGATGATTAAATTAAGATAGAGATTAAGTGACTTGCCCAGGGTCACACAGCTAGTGACTGTCTGGTGCTGAATGTAACTCAGGCCGCCCTGACTAAAAGGTAAGCAAGATACAGCTGCTGCCTTTGAGGGGACTATAGAGTAAAGGAAAGAACATTAATACATAAGAAGATCAAGAACAATACTAGGGGGTCGATGTTAAGGGCCAGGTCAATGGCAGAGACAAGTTCAAGGACAGGAGCATTCACTGAAGGCCAGTGGCTTCCTGGAAGGGGCGGAACTTGAACTAGTAAGAAGGAGACACTTGCAGAGCCACATGATGTGCACAACAGTAAAGAGGCAGGTCTTTGCAGGGTCAACAAAGTGCACTAGAGAGGGGTGCATCGGAACATAGGGCTGGAATCTGGCTACACCCAGATAGGTCAGGGAGTGAATAAGAAGAATTGACATTTACATGGGATGTCCAAAAAGTCTTAGTAAAGTTGTAACCTTTCATAACCTCAGAAATCTAAATGCTACAAACTTTAAAATTTTTAATTACTTATTTAAAAAATACTTATTTAGTTTTGTACTTTTTGAATAACAGATTTTTAATTTTAACAAGACTGAGCAGCCTGTCATCATGCAGTGCATGTACGGCAGCTCCCGGATGACATTTCCTCAGTCTGGAGGTCCACCTTGGTCAACTGATCTATCTCCGTCACACTTTTTTTGCTGGGTTTATATCAACACTATCACGTATGTGCCAAAATCGTACTCTTTAGATAATCTCTAAGCTAGGATTACAAATGTAATCCTTTCGTCACAGAGTAGGAGCTGAGGAAAGTTTTTACAAACTTATTCAGAAACAGACGAGCAATGTATACTTTTTCATGTTATGAATTTTCATAACAAACATCAATATGTAAAAAATGTCAATAATTAACCTTTAAAGTTGTTATTTTTCTAAGTTTGTAACATTTATAATTCTGAAGTTATTAAAACTTTAAACTGTACCAAGTCTTTTGGGACACATCTTTAAGGTCTACAAAGTGTTTTCATCATCTCATTCACAGGTTCAGAAAAGCTAAGAGACTTGCTCACAGTCACACAGCAACTAAGTGGCAGTGGCAGGAGTCCAAAGCTATAGCCACTGCACTAGGCTATGCTCTAAAGGCTGGGGATCTGAGAAGTGATGAAGTCCCATGGAACACCCAGACTCCCCCTAACATAGGCATTAACGATGACAATGAGGAAGTATTTAGGAGTGTTTAGGACTACCTGTCCTTCTTGCCCCACCTGCCCATACCCTTCACAACAGCCTTGCCTCATTACCCCTCAATCACACACCACCCCACCTCATTTTCCTCTGCCCCCTCCCCATTAAAATGAAGTGGACAACCTGGATAGCACCTTACCTCCTACCAAGCATGATGATCCCTCCAGTTTTGGGATTTATTTTACAGTAGTCACCATGGGCCCAAACACCTTCACAGAGACAAAAGGCAGAAAAAAGGTCAGTTTTCTGGTGGAAAAGTTCTCCAGACAGAATAACCTGTGTAGACTTCTAAGGCTGGCATTACAATGATAACACACCACTATTTATATACAAGATGATCCTGGCCCACCAGTCACCCTAAAATGTGAGTTGAGATGTCTCCCCATTAACCCATCAGAATCCCTCCCATGGTTACCATGCTGACCAGTGCTACATACATGTAGGATGGATGGCTGGATTAGGCTGGGAATGGGTGTTAGGTCATGATAAAGAGAAAAAACAAGGAGCTGAGACAAGGACCCATGAAGATACCCTCACTAGCGATGCATTCTATCCCACTGAGGGAACCTGACTGCTGTCAAAATCTGGGGGACAAAAAGAAAGTTCCTGTTTCCAATCACATCTCTCATTACATTTCTCCTCCTCTCAGGTGCTACACCATTCTCCCCACCCCCAACCCCTCCAAAAGGCCTAAAGAAAGTCCAGTGCCTGATAGGACACTACCACAGGAGAAAAGTCAATCCCTGCTCAGAGCCTTGTGTGATCTAGTTAATACGCAATTATCCATACTAACAGAAGCCAGATTGGGGTACAAATAATCCAAAAACTAGAATGTTTTACACGTACATTGCTGCAGCAGTACTACAAGAAAATCAAAACACAAAAGGTCTCAGGGAGTCGTGACAGCCTCAGCAAATCAAACCAAACCTAATAATTGAGCTATTTCAGACTTACTCTAAAGGCAGTATGACACAGTGGGAAGAACACTGACTCAAATTCCATTTCCACCACTCATTCCATAATGACCCTGGGCAAGTCCCGTGACTTCCCTAGAGCTGGTTCCCACATCTATAAAATAAGAAGCCTGGACTGGAGAGCCTCTATGGTCCCCTTCTTCCGGCTCCAATTCCAACCTTAGGTAGAGTGCTGGCAAAAAGCCATCTCCCTTCTCAACTCCAAAGAAACCCCCCCAGTCCCGCCGTGTTTTCCTCCTATGAAGAAAATGCTACTGAATCTGGATGCTCAATGAGCTCCCAGAGAACTAGGACCTCAGGATTTAGGGGACAGCAGAAAAATCAATCCCAACAATGACAATGATGTCCCAAAGTAGAGAGCTTCAATATTTGCAAAGTGTTATCCGTACTTGGCCTCACTTGATTCTTTCAACCACCCTGAGAGGTGAGAAAGGTGCTACTATTGCTTCCATTTTACAGATGAAGGAACTGAGGCACAGGAGACTTGCCCAGGCCCCAAAGTTAATAACTGTCTTGAGGTAAGATTGGAATTGATGTTTTTCTCACTCCAAAGTCCCGGGCTCTATCCACTATCCCATGCTGCCCCACACATTTGTACTCATTCAAAGTAGAAGCCTCACATGATACCCAAGGAAATCTGCAATTTACTCTTTTCCTCTCACCCATGTTAAAAAAGTAAAACCTTCTTTATAGTCTATTTCTGTTTATTTTCACTGTAATTTTCGAGGAGAATGATTTCCCTAAGTTACACCCTACTATGTCAAGTCTAGCCCTTTGTTTTTATCTGTCATTATAGGTTATGATGAGTGAGAGGACAGAGAGGCACGCTTACTACATCTGTTTCTACGATTTGGAACAAGTCCATGTATGCCCAGACAGACAGACAGCTATCCTGAGGCTGCTCTATCCATTTCTTTCATGAGTTAATGGAGGTTGATCATATACCTCCCCCCTTCTCAAACTTTTTCTAGCCTAGAATGTTGTTTTTTTTTTTTTTAATTTGGCTAGGCAATGGGGATAAGTGACTTGTCCAGGGTCACACAGCTGGTAAGTGTTATGTGTCTGAGGCTGGATTTGAACTCAGGTCCTCCTGACTCCATGGACGGTGCTCTATCCACTGTGCCACCTAGCTGCCCCTTAGCCTAGAGTCTTCATCCTTTTAGACTTGCACATACAGCAAAGCCCCAGCCTCAGGGCCATTTTTCCCACCTCAGTTATCAGCACATACAAATCTCTCCTACCCAATCTGCTTTCATGACTTCGCCAGTCCAGCCAAAAGGCTGATGCTAAGACCCAGCAGCTGATCATCCTCAGGTATCAGTCAAATTCAATGCAATCAGCCATGTGGTTCCATTCTATTACATCCATGGCTCCCTTCACTCAGTAATGGAAAATACTGAGGGTTATTCATTTCAAAGTATGCTAAATAAGACATATAGTTTTTCTGACACAGACTAAAACCACTGTGGTAGAACTGCTAGAATCTACTCTTTCTGAACTTGTGAAAATTCAACCTAAGCTGAAGTTTGCTTTTATATCATTTAAAAAGGGGCAGTTAGGTGGTGCAGTGAATAGAGTGGCAGACCAGAGTCAGGGAGATCTGAGCTCAAACCCAGCCTCAGGCACTTACTATGACTCTGGGCAAGTCACTTCACTATGTTTGCCTCAGTTTCCTCTTCTGTAAAATGAGCTGGAGAAGGAAATGGCAAACCACTCCAGCATCTTTGCCAAGAAAACCCCAAATGGGGAAACAAAGAGTTGGACACAAGTGAACAACAAATATTTAAAAAGAAAGGGTTTGCTGGGGAAATAAGTGTATAAATAAAATGGAGGTGGGTGAAGGGCAGAGGAGGATGTTTCATTTTTTAGCTGTCTTTAAGTGTTTTAAAGCACAGGAACTGCTGTTATGTAAGGTTTTGTTATTTAGTCATTTTTCAGTCATATCTGAGTAGTTTGCCATTTCCTTTTCCAGCTCATTTTACAGACAAGGAAACTGAGGCAAACAGGGCTAAGTGACTTGCCCAGAGTCACACACTTGTAAGTACCTGACGCCAAATTTGAACTCAGGTCTTCCTGATTCCAAGCCCAGTGCTCTACCCAGTGGGCTCTATCCATAGCTATAGCTAAGTAAGGGGCTGCTGCTAATTACATGAAATTCATCCATTCACTTAATGCAGGCCCTGCTGGATCTTTCTTCAGAAATACTTTATTATCAACATGTACTTGAAAGAAAGAAAACTGCATTTCTTTAAAAGTATTCTAAAATTCAGAATCGTAAGTAATTTGGATGAGTATTCCTCCAAATATTTTCAAAACAATGAAGTCTGACTGCACATCAAAACTGATGGTGGGAGCAAAGGTCTGTCTATCACTGCTCTTATCAGCTATCAAACTAATTCAATCAAAATATTTTTCTTCCGTAACGAGAACGAGATGTAATTTGCTATTCAGTTCATTCAATTATTTACTTAGCACCTACTCTGGAACAAGTACCAAGGCACTTTGCTAGGCACAGAGGCTTCTACAAATGATATGTTCACATTATCATATGTAGCATAGCAGAGGGTTGAGAGGGTAAGGGAAAATAAAAGCCAGAGCAAATCTTACTGCCCAGAGTCACTTGAAACTTTTCAATTCTCAAAATATGGCTTCTATGACTCTAAGTTATCTTTCTGGAGAATAAACACTTAGTATAAATAACTCCAGAACAGATAGCTGCCTCAATTATGAGTTAAATAGCAGTAGTAACTTGACACTGGTTATAAAATAAAATGAGAAAGATCTAGGAAGCTGAGCTTTAAATAAGATGTCCCTCCAGTTCAGTAAAAGGCACTACTCAAAAATTAAGAGGATGGATGTCTTCGAGTCTGAGCAATGTGCTGACTATAAATCACCATCCTCTTCACCACCCAAAGCATAGTTCTGACTTATATCTCTCTAATGACTTGATAATGATTTAGTTGATAGATCTAAAAAATAAGAACCAAATAACCTTTCCATTACTTCATTTCTCCCAAGATAAGTTCACACCATAATTGAGCAAGCTGTCCCCAAGATGCCCATGCTGGCCATCTGTTGAGGCCATACCTGCTCAACCACACTGGTTCTGGGGAAGAATATGCTCTGGAGGAGTGGGGGATAGGGGTTGATATCAAGCTAAGCCCAGATTACAGTAACTCCCAAGGTTTCAAGCATAAGATGGCAAGATATTTCTCAAAAAATTCATCACCACCCCACTGGCAGAATGCTCACATACATAAGCAATACTAGGCTATTGGGGAAGGAAATAATGACAGGAAAATTTAATTGGGGCTCACAAAAGGGTCAACCAAGTCAGGAGCTTAGCCCTGTTTCTGGTCATCCATACCTACCTGGGAACTTAGAGAAATAAGCCTTCCTGTATTTGATACCATTCTTATCATTCCAGAAGTATGTAGGTTGGCAGGGTATCGGTTTGGTACAAACCAGTTCACCACTCTCACCCCAGACTGCCTTTCCTAGATTTGAAGGATGAAGAAAGAAAAAAAGAATTACATATGAAAACCCACAAAAATTCACATTTCCCCAAAACCCTTGTATTTCTATTTACTTAACAAATCAAAAGTCTCAATGCCAATCTACTAAGAGGAAGTAATTTTATTTCTCCAATCGGATTTTTGAGATCAACATGCTCTTGACCTCTAGATATAGTACTGAGACTGTTACAACACATTTATTGAGCCCTTACTAAGCACTAAAGCAAATAACATCACCACCTAACATTTAACTTCTCCAAGCACTTTCTAAGATGGCATGCTCATCAAATCTGCAGATGACATGCAGCCTAGGACAGCTAGCACACTGGATGACAGTATAGATCCTAAAAGATCTTGACAGGTTAGAACAATGGGCCAACATGCCTAAGATGAAATTTTATAGAAATAAACATAAAGTTCTACACCTGAATTAATCAGATCAGACCTGGAGTTGGAAAGGTCTTTTGGGGTCAATTAGTCCAAATCCCTCATTTTACGTAAGAGAAAATTAGGACCCAGAAGAAATGAAGTCAGAGAGGTCACAACTCAGGGTATCAAGTGTTTTCTCTACTACCCCAGGCTGCCGAGAGTCCCACTCCAAAAATCAGCTTCACAAATATAGCAGGACACACTGGAAATGTTGTTGGAAAATCATAGATGAGTGGGTGCCTTCAGGTGCTGGTGTCTTCCCCTTCAAGATATCTCCCCATCTACTTTATATGTATCTTGTATGTACCTGGTTGTTTCTGTGTAGTTTCCCCCACCAGAATGCAAGCTCCTTGAGGACAGAAAGAAATATTTTTGCTTTTCTTTGCATCCCCAGTACTTTTCACAGTGCCTGGCACATAGTAAACACTTAATAATGCTTGATGATTAGCTGGTGAGCATTTCTAATGGCTAAAAGCAGGTACTTGAATATCTAGCTATTTTTCCCTCGATGGCCTATCAGACAGTCATAAGTTTGGGTGTTGGTCTCACCATACTTACCATGCAATCAATCACTGAACAACGAGTCATACCAGGAGAATCAGAAATGGTTCCAAAACGCAGAGTATGTATTAAACTATGCTGGGGAAGGGATGTCAAGAGGAAAGAAATGTTCTGCAAGCTGGTAGAGAGATCTACTCAATGTCAAAAGGATTTAGGTTTTATTATCTTCATTCCACAGAGAAGAATGGAGGCACAGGAACAAAGATTACTGAGCACTTCTCTACAACTGTTCTGACCCAGTCATTTAAAAGCAAACAAAGCCATTTGATATCAGCTAAGGAAAGTGAAGGCCCTACTGTACTCTGCCCTGATCAATAATATCTGGAATATTAAGTCCATGTAGAAACAACACATTTTAGGATAGATACTGATAAGCTTGAACTTTCCAGAGAAAGGCAAGTCTTCTTAATTTAAAACTCTTTGGAGGAATGTTTGTCCAAATGAATAGTGACGATTCTGAATTTCAGAATACTTTTTTTAAATTCAACTTTCTTTAAGGCCCTTGAGTTCATGCTATGTGAAGAACAGATGAAAAACCTAGGAGTATCTAGCCTAGAGAAGAGAAGCCTGATGGCTTCAAGGAAGTCAAAAAGAAAAAAACAAGGTCCCATATAAATAAGAATATTCATGTACCTCATTTTAGTATAGTTAAAAAATGGAAGCCAAATAATTCTCTATGTACTGTGAAATGGCTGAACAAACCATGGTACATCAAAGTAATGCAAAAGTATCACACCCAAAGAAAGGAATGAATATAAAGAATTCAGAGAAACATGAGAACTGATGCAGAGCCAAGAAGGTAGAACCAAGATTACAAGATATATGATGACTACAACAATATAAATAAAATTCAGATTAAATGCAATCTTCAGTCTATTGATGTTCAGTGTGATGGAGGCAGGCAGACTTGGTTGTTGTACTGGTTAGTTTTGCTTGACTGTTTTCCTTTTATTATAAAGGTAGCACAAACATATATTGGAAAATGACTTGTTATGTAAAAATCATAAGGACATCAATTTAAAAATAAATTCAGAAAAGACCTGGAGGTGATCTGGTGGCTAGGCAGTTGGGGAGATGAGCCTGGAGTCAAGAAGACCAGAGTTCAAATCCGGCCGCAGACACTTACTAGTTGTGTGACCCTGGGCAAGTCAATTAACCTTGTTTGCCTCAGTTTTTTCATGGGGATCATAATAGCACCTCCCAGGTGTGCAAGTATCAAATAAGATATTTGTAAACACATTTACCACCATACCCTAATAAATGCTTTTTCCCTTTCCCTTCCCCCATATTTGATGGGTTGCCTCATGAAAGTGGGATTAAATTGTTCTGGTTGGCCCCCAAGGGCAGAACTAGGAACGGCATGTAAAAGGTACAAAGGTTTGAGTGCAGGCTCAATGTAAGGGGAAACTTCCTAACAATTAGTTGCCCCAAAAGGTGAGGTCTCAAAGCAAAATCTGGATGACTACCTGTTGGGTATGAGACACAGGATTTTTAATCCAAGAAGAGTTAGACCAGATGACCTTTAAGGTACCTTCCTAACTCCAAAATTATGGGATTCTATTTCAAGAAAGATACACTGCAAATAAGTTACCTTCCTCACTCCATGCTTCCACTGCCATGCCCAGATTCCTGGCCTGAATTTCTCCTTTATAAACTGGAATTGAAACATTTTGACCCATAAAACAGGAAATTATATCAGTGCCACCTGCAATGAAAAGGAGAGAGAAGATTCACAATTCAAAAATCTGAGGAAAGCTTGTTGATTTTGTTTTAACTAGCACATGGAGGCCAAAGACCCACAGGATGACAAATACTGAACATCCCTTCTCCCGATACAGGCCTAGATGCTGAGAATCACTGTGGCATTACATTTCTTTTTCAGAAATGTTAGGGGTGCTTGAAAGAGAGGAAACAGTATCATCTGGAGAGGGAGAGTCAGAAGATCAGATTGGTAGGAGGGAGAGAGCCAAGACTGAGGACTTGCTGCCTTTGAGGCCACCTTCTTATCCACTACTCCATCCTGGCTCGCTGTGGCCAGAGGATGTAAGTTAAAGTCCACTCCTCTGCCTCTAGCTTGGTGAATGACTTCTAACCTGATGGGGCTTCCAGGGAATAACCATCCAAAGACCCTCCCTAAAACTGAAGAATCAAGCTATTGTGTGTGTGTGTGTGTGTGTGTGTGTGTGTGTGTGTGCGCGCGCGCACATGCATGTTAGCTCAGTAGAAGGTATGATGCTCTGAATTTCTGAGGGTCTCCCTCTATCAGTTACCTCACAGGAATAAAGGAAGTGATCCCTGCCCTGAGGGGCATTCCTCTCTGAGAATTTCTGGTGCTGGGCATCCCTTCACCACTCTAGAAAGCATGAGTGACAGGTGACAGGAACAGTAGCATCTCATAATTGATGCTGCTGGGGCCAGCCTCCAGGCATGGGACCTAGAGGAAAGTGGGGTCTCACAAAAGAACTCAACCCCAAGTAAATTATGTATGGATCTTAGGATGACTTGACCAGCCAAGCCACTAAAGGTGTCTCAAACTAACAGTGTGTTGCTTACACTTTAGACAGAGATGAAATTCAAAAAATAATTAACTGCTATAGAGCTATGTGGAGAAGGAGACAGTAAAGAAAATGAGGCTTTCCTTGTAATCTTTTCCAAACTAACACTACCTCTTTTGAAGGCCAAAAAATCCCACAAACAAGTTTGTAAAAATTCCATTTCCTTTAACTCCCAATCATATCTGTAAGAAATGATCTTGCCCTGACATTACACTAGGTGAGAATCATTCCATTTCCCCCCAGCTACTAACAGAAATGCTAATTTCATTAGAATATCTTTTATTGGTAAGTTTTTTAAATGTCAGTCTATCCTAAGGCTAAAGTGCATAAGGTATTTTTGCTGTAAAATAAAGAAAAGGCCATAACAGCAATGAAAGCTGTACTATGCAGATAAAAAGCATAGATTCAGAAAGCTATAGCTGAAAGAGACTTTCAAGTTCAACTCTCCAATCCATTCTACAAAGGAAAAAACTGAGCTCCAGACAGTTTGCTCAGTGACTTGTCCCAGAAGTCACCCAGATGATTAATGGCAAAGCCAAGACTAAAAAACAGATCTACTCATTATTCTCAGTCTGGTGCTCAGGATGCCTTTGTCTTGGTCGTGGCTGGGTCAACCAAGACTCGGGTGAAATAGCTCCTCACACTTATCCACTAGCAAACCAAGGCTACCACCTTAATGAAGTAAGACCTAAGAGCCCCCTGCCCTACCTAGACTCCTGCAACAGTGTCTTGACTGCCCTCACCAATCCATCTTCCACACACTACCAAAGGTCACTTTCCTCAAACACAGATCTGATCATATCACTCCTCTGGTTGAGAAACTCTAATGGCTCCACGTGACTCCTGGACTCAAAAATGAGCTCATGTATTGAACCTTTAAATCCCATATCCCTGCTAGTTACACAGCACATCTCTTCATACATCCAGCCAAATGAACCTTCCTGCTGTTCTTCACATACCACATTTATCCCCCACCTCCATACTTCTGCCCACACTGTCCTCTCGGCCAGGAACGTGCTCCCTTCCTCACATCTTGACTCCTAAAATCTCTAGTTTCTTTCAAAGCTCAGTCTAAATGCTGACTCCTCCCTAAGGCCTCTCTTGTTACTCTCAGTAGCTAGTGTCTCCTCCCCCAATATATCTGGTACAAATACTGTATGTATTTGATGGGGTGTCCCAAAAGCTAACACTTAAAACTGCATGAAGACTTTTGGGACATTCTGTATGGGTAAATGTTGTCTTCCCTAAATCAGCTCCTTGAAGTACCATTTTTGTCTTTGTATGCCAAGAACCAAACACAGCACCTGGTATTTAGGAGCTTAATATGGGTTTACTGATTGATGGGAAAACTCTTCATTAGGTGTACTGTGGGAAGAGAGGCAGGCTAATTTGCTACTGGTGGAGCCATGAAGTTGTTCAATTATTTTGGAAAATCATTTGGGGTTACATAAGAGACATAACTAACTTCTTAATACTATTTGATCCAGGGATCCCACTGCTGGGACTATATCTCAAGGAGGTTACTAAAATCAAGAAAAAAAAAACACGAACAAAAATATTCCTGGAAATATTCTCTCTGATAACAAAAAGCTAGAGACAAAGTACACAACCAACAATTAGAAAATGGCTATACAAATTATGGCATATAAATGTAATGGAATATTACTGCATCACACTCAGAACTCAAATAAATCCATGATCTCAAGGATTTGGGTGTTCCTTCCAACAATGCAGATTGCAGCCTCTCCACATCTACCCACTTTGTGCCATTCTTGCCCATCTCCTCCCAAAAGTTCGCCAAAGGGCATTCACCCAATATGCAGAAGTCTTCCCTTCTTCCTCCTAATCAACTGTCATCTCTCATTTTTTCCATTTCTCTTTCTACCGTACAATTACTCAGCCCATTTTCTCTTCCTCTCCTCTAATTCCCCGGTAATTTCTTTTCTTCCTGTTCTTTGTTGCTCCTCTGCGGTCACCTGCTGCAGCCTGCTCATGTTCACCAGGCACCTCTCCACTCCCGTCTGCATGATACTCATTTTTAGTTCCTGGAAGCAGTGGTGTTCCACATCTCACTGCCACATATCAACACCAGTAAAATGTTAGTATGGAAAAATTAAAAGAACCTTGTGTCAAGGGGCAGGTAGGTGGCACAGCAGATAGAGCACCGGCCCTGAATTCAGGAGGACCTGAGTTCAAATCCGACCTCAGGCACATAACACTCACTAGCTGTGTGACTCTGGGCAAGTCACTTAACCCCGACTGCCTCACCAAAAAAACAAACAAACAAACAAAAAAAAAAAGCCTTGTGTCTTCCTGAAAGCAAATCAATCAACAAACATTGATTATGTGCCTACTCTGAGCCAAGCACTGTGCTAAGAGCTAAGGACACAAACACAAAGAATGAAATTCCCCATTCTCAGGGAGCTTCCTTCTAACAATCCAGCCTATTGTCCTCCTCCTCTTGTTCAACTCCAAGCCCCAAATGTTGTCCATCTCTACTGTCTGTATGGTTTTCATACTGTTGGACCAGTTCAATAAGGTGGCCATTCAAAAGCAGATTGAGGGCAGCCAGGTGGCACAGTGGACAGAGCACTGGCCTTAGAGTCAGGAGGACCCGAATTCAGATCTGGCCTCAAATATTTGACACTTTCTGGCTGTGTGACCCTGGGCAAATCACTTAACCCTGATTGTCTCACAAGAAAAAACAAAACAAAACAAAACAAAAGCAGATTGAGCCATGGGTAATGGACCTTCTTCCATTACTTCCTCTTTCCTGTGTGTACAGACAAGCTGAAATACTTTGAATGAGCTCAGATCTCTTCCAGGAGGTTCTGATGTTGTGGGGCCTGATGAAATCAATGCAAAGTCATCTGCAAAACAAGAGGACCTTACCATCTACAGTGAATCCCTCTTCCACCTGTACTCTGCTCTGCCTCTCAATGACAATGCGGCAAATACCTTGAGTGAGCATACATCTTCCTGTTTTACTCCTCATTACTATCGGAAGGTCAATGAAAGAGTTGTTTCTATCGTTATATTTTCCAAGGAAGCTTGAATTATCTTTATGCAAGAATAAGAGACACTTGGCTATAAAAGATTGTTGTGTAAGATGTTCTATTTAATCAAATGCTTTTAGTAATCAATAAACAATGAGATATTAAGCTACCTAGAACTCTTAAAGCATCGTGAAATACTGAAGGTGTAGTCCTTTGCCGAATATTGTTTCTGAAAGTTTGCTTGTTCCCTACTAATATCCATACCAAAGAGGCCCTCAATTCATGCACAGAGGACTCTCACAAAAATTTTATAATAAATGGGAGAATGAGCATTCTACGTTTGTAGTTACTGATATCCTCATGGTCACCTTCTTTCGCTATTAAAGTCTGAGACTCTTCAGTATCTGCCCTTTTATATACCCTTAGCACATTCACAATCGTGCTGCCTGCAGCCCAGATCTCCTCTACATGTACTCAGCCCAGTCTAGTGACTCTTCCCATCTTTATCCTTGTTAGTGTCATTCCTGTGTCCTAAGGACATCTTGGAAAGTAGTTTGTTCAAATGGATGCTGTATGTCCCTTGTATTTCTCTTCCGTCTGTAGCTCTCCTTCCGCTTTCACCCTCAAATGCCCTCAGGATAACTTTCCCTAGTTGGATGTCTTGCCAAGTTGTCTTTTAACTGCTTTTATCCTCCACACTTCTGTCTGCCTCATGAGATGACACTACTTATAACTGCTCATCATCCTTCTTCTTAAGATTTTACAAACAAGTTTATACTCTAAGCTGGTATTGCTAGTGCCTTGCACTCTGAGTTTATCTTTCAATCACTGAACCTGGTATATCCCTATATAATTACATGCTGGTGCTCCCATTATGATAAAAGCTCCTTAAGTGCAAGGACCACATTTGCCTTCTTTTGCTTCCCCAACGCTTATTAGCACAGTAACTGATACATAGGAAGTGCTCAAAAAATGTTTATTGACTGACTGGTACTATCTTTGGCAGCCATCTCTCTCCATTTGGCAAATAAGTCAAATGTTTGCTGATTAAGGCACTTTGGGGCCTTTTTTTGGTCTCCCTGCTGTGGTAATTAATTTATGTTAGCTAAACTTCTGAAAGAAATTTATTATAGTCAGTGTTAATGTCATTTATATATATATAATCGGGTTCTTTATAGAATTCTTCTACCACTTCATCTTTAGCACCAGACACTAATGAACAAGCTACAATTATTATCACAGTTGTCTCTCTGCAAATAATTATCATTAGCTCTGCAATACACGATGACCAGATATGTCATGAAATAATATTTATTGTTGCCTATGGGTATATAACAAAACCCCCTCTACCACTTCCTTCTCCGCCTGTCCGAGGAGCAGCTGTGAGTCATCCTTCTATTTAGCTGCAATTTCCTTCTATCTTTTGATTTCTCTTATAGAAAGAATGTCAATTGATGATTCAGCTCCTCTGTCAATATATCTACTCCATGGTCACATTTAGAGCACCAACTGACAAATGAAAGTTTATTAGCACCATTGGGATTCTTTATGTCTTTATTGCACCACAAAGAAAGACATATATGAAGAATTCAGAGAAACATAGGAAGTGATGCAAAGTGAAGAAAGAAAAGCCAAAGAAATATATAAATACAGTGATTATAATGATGTAAGGAAAGTAAACATGGAAAGAAAACATTTTGATCAAAGAAAACATTTACTATTAGTACCATATTTCCAACATTAATGGACATATTCCACCTTTCTCTTATTAACTCTTTTCTCAGTGAAAGGACTTTGTAAAGAGGTTTCTTTAGTTATTTGTTGAGAGGTAACTCTTGTGTCCAAACTAAACATATCAATAAATTTTTTAAAATGAAAAGCACTATTACAAAGGCTAATGTGGAAATTTTGGTCAACCAAGGACACATAGATAACTAGGAGAAATAGTCTGGAAATAACAGCAGAGGTATCTTCTGCCTTGAACTAACTATTAAGAGGGCTTGCGGTTTGGTTTTAAGAGTATTTGAGAATCAGACAAAGACTACGTCAACCCTTGATCCACTCATAACCTCCCACCTCTGCTCTTTCCACTCCTTGCCCAGTACCCCAGTACCCTGAGCATTACCTGAGATAGATCCAAGGAGGACATTCCTTTTTATATATTTGTAAACATACTCATAGCTTTGGGCTTTTAAAGGGGACCCTGTAGACAGGATAGTGTGAAGAGTCTGAAGATTGTGAGTTTCCACTAAAATGAAAGACAATTAAAAGGTTACAGTTAAAACCAATTTTTTTACAGTACCACTTATGTAGAAGAAATACAGAATTAAATGTAGTCCATTTTTTTGGAAGAAGCATGTGCCACAAAAGCTTTAGAAAGTCTATTTACCTGGTTTCAAGTTTCTCTCTTCAAGTACTGACAACCACTTGGCCCCAGTTCCAAGAATTGTGATCCTAGGAGGAAGAAAAGGCATGGAGGTAGAAAGAAAACAAAGGAAAATAAAGTTTTCACCGTGTTTGCACATTTCAAATACTAAAATTTTCTAACATTGGTGGTTTACCAATTGAACATTCAATTTTCAATTGAACTTTCCTAAACCAAAATATATCACCTTCCTGGGTTGTACTCATGATTAACATTAACTTATAAAATCTTTTTTTTAGTTTATTTTTTATTTTTTTCCATTTAATAGTATTTTATTTTTTCCAATTACATGTAAAGATAGTTTTCAACATTCACTTTTATAAGATTTTGAGCTCTAAAATTTTTTCTCCCTCTCTCCCCAAGATGGCAAGCAATCTAATATAGGCTATATATGTACAATCATATTAAACACATAAAAGTCTTTCCTCACCCTAGGAAACATGTTGCCATATCTTGACATTAAGGATCTGTGCTATCTTCAAGTCTATAGCAATTAGTTTTTTCCAAACCCATCATCTGCACTTAAATGGACTTTAAGTACACATAGCTTTACATGATCCTAAATATTTTGTTTTAAAAGAAAGAACTACAAAATTAAATGTCCTCAAACACTAATGTAAATATTTCCTCTTCTGGTGAATTAGTGAGGATTGCATGCCTACACTTCCAAAGTCCTGAGTACCTGTGGCAAGATGGGAAAGGAAGGGAAGTCTACTTGCTTATAATTACATAGCTACTGCCACTAATTAAAACTGATAAAACACAGCAATTTCCCCCAAAAAAAATATTATACATAAATTCATGCTTTTGCCATGGATCAAATCACTTGGTCATTATTACTTTTTTTCCCAAGTGGCTGAAGTTCCTAACCTTCCAAAAATATTCACACTCAGTGATTAATACCTAATGCTACTAATAAATATGTATTATGCTGAAAGAGTAACTGACAAAGAAAAGAAGAAAATGAGTAACCTTTCACCTTTTTCTAATACCTTATCTACATCAAAGGAACAGTCAACAGAAATATGGATATGGAGATTACTTTTTTTTCCCATCACATAAACAATAACCCTAATGTGTGTAAAAGGACTCATATAGTCCACTCTCCATTATGCACACCAATGTTGGGAAGTGGTGGATCAAATAAAAGCACACGTATAGAAGTCCTTTTCCAACCCAACCAGGAACAAATGCTGCTGGCCAGAATGGCTCTGCTGGTCCCTAATCCAGCCTCTCTGAGCCCAATGCTCTCAGCTGAGTCTCAGGTTTTTTCTCGCTGTCCTCATGACTCTCAAGCCCATCCTTCCTTTCAATTACAATTATTATTCTTTCCTCTGGCAACTCTATGCAAAGCGAATAACAGAAACCTGTCTATAGAAATTTTTTTTAAATTTGATTTTGTTTCATTGAGAGGAAGTATGGTCTAGTGCACAGAAAGTCAGCCTTGCAGTCAGAAAGACCACATGTCACAGATTGTTATTTGACCTTGGGCAAATCAATTACCTTTTTAGTACCCTAGGCAACTCACTAAGACTATAAGTTGTCAATCTTTATTTATTTGTTGTTGCTATTTTGGGGGTTTTTTTAGGGGAGGGGTTACATTTTTAAGTTCCAAACTGCCTCCCTCCCTACCCTGCACTAGAGAAGGCCACCATTTGACACTGATAACTTCTTTCACAGGTCCTTTGTAGCTGATTTGAGTGTTTATAACACTGAGAATAACTCAGTCGTTCACAGTTACTCTCTGAACAATATTGCTATTACTGTATACAATGTTCTCTTGGTTCTACTCACATCACTCTTCATTATTTCATGCAAGTGTTTCCATGTTTTTCTAAGACCAACCTGCTCATCATTTCCTACAACACAGTAGTACCCCATCACAATCATATAACCACAACTTGTTTAGCCATTCCCCAACTGACAGGCATCCCCTAAATTTCCAATATTGTGCCACCACAAACAGAGCATGTATAGTTTAGAACATACAGGTTCTTTTTCTTTTTCCCTCATCACCATATTGCTGGGTTAAAGGGTGTGTATACACACACACACACACACACACACACACACACACACACACGCAGTTTTGTATAAGTACTTGGGCATAATTTCAGATTGCTCTTCAAAATGGTTAGATCAGTTCACAGTTCCACTAACAGTGCATTAATGTCCCACGTTTTCCACATCCCTTCAACATGTCATTGTCTCCTTCTATCATTTTAGCCAATCTGATAGGTGTGAGATGATACCTCAAAGTTGTTTTAATTCACATTTCTCTAATTAACAATGATTTTGAGCATTTTTCATATGACTATATGCAGCTTTGATTTCTTCTTCTGAAAACTGCTTGTTCATATCTTTTGAACATTTATCAGTAGAGGAATGACTCATATTCCTATAAATTTGACAAAAGTTCTCTTATATATTTGAAATATAAGACCTTTATCCAAGAAACTGTCTATAAAATTTCCGCCTCCCCCAATTTTCTGCTTTCCTTCTAATCTTGGCTACACTGGTTTTATTTGCATAAAACCTTTTTAATTTAATATAATCAAAATGATTACAATGCTTTCTATCTCTTGTTTATTCATAAATTCTTCTCCTATCCATAAGTGTGATAGCTAACATGCTCCATGCTTCTAATTTACTTTTATATCTAATTTGCTTATATCTAATTTACTTATATCTAATTTACTTATATCTAAGTCATGTATCCCTTTTGACCTGATCTTGGTAAATGATGTAAGATACCGGTCTATACTCAATTTTTGCCAGGCTGCTTTCCAGTTTTCTCGACAATTTTTACCAACTAGTGAATTCTTATCTCAAAAGCTTAAATCTTTACCTTTGTCAGCACAAGCTTACTATAATTATTTAGTACTGCGTATTGAATGTCTACTCTGTTCCACTGTATATCTACTCTGTTTCACCTTTCTATTTCTTAACCAGTACCAGATAGTTTTGATAATTACTGCTTTACGATATAGTTTAAGTTGTGGTACTGCTAAATCTCCTTGCTTTACGCTTTTTTCACTAATTCCTTTGATATTCATGACCTTTTGTTCTTCCATATGAATTCTGTTATTTTTGTTTTAGCTCAATAAAATAATTTTTTTGTAATTTAATTGGGATGGCATTGAATAAGTAGATTAATTTGGGTAGAATTGTCATTTCTATTATATTGGCTCTGCCCACCCATGAACATTATTATTTCTCTAATTATTTAAGTCTGACTTTATCTGTATAAAAATGTTGTATAATTGTGTTCATGTAGTTCTTGGGTTGCCTTGGCAGGTATACTCCCAGGTATTTTATGCTGTCTGTGGTTATTTTAAATGGAGTATCTCTTACTATCTATTCTTGCAGGATTTTGTTGATGATATACAGAACTGCTGATGATTTATATGAATTTATTTTATATCCTGTTTGCTAAAACTATGAATTATTTCAAATAGCTTTTTGGGTGAGTCTTACCTCACTACTCATTCCAATTCCTTCCATTTCTTTTTCTTCTCTTATTAATAGCATTTCTAATACAACATTGAATATTGGTGATAATGAATATCCTTGTTTCACTCTTGATCTTATTGGGAAGGCTTTTAACTTATCTCCATTACAAATAATGCTTGCTGAAGGCAATGCTTCTTATCATTTTAAGGAAAAATCCATTTATCCATAGAAATTGGGGCAGGAAATGTTTTAAGCCTTTAGTTACTATAAAGCCCAATATAGTTTTGAAGGTGCCTTCAGAATTAAAACCAAGTCCCAGTGGACTGCTAAGTCTCACTCATGCAAAGTCAACATTTTGGAATACTTCACATCTTTTACATTTTCCAGAGACTCAGTTTAATTGAGCAGGATTGGAGCAAAAGCAGCAGATGATGGGAGTGATCCAAAGCTAAAGCTTGGCAGGACCAGATTTCTGTCAGGATAAGGAGACAATAGATTCAAGAGAAGAGGTCAGTATAGAGTTGAACCCATTCACTAACAAATCAAGATGGGAAAGGAATGAGAGTGTAGCAAGGAAAGAGGGGATGGCCTGGGAAAAAACTGAAGGACAGATAGATTGAAGGTCACACTGAGGACAAAGAACTGAGTTTTGGAGCTGCAAAATAGACAGAGGGGATAAAGACAACAGACTGTGAACCGATAAGGAAATTTCAGAGTTCATGAACGTGGAAGTAGTACATTCATAGATGATGGTAAGACCAAGAGTATGACCATTTCTCTAGGTATAGCTGAGATGAGGTGGAGAGCCAGGTCACAGGAAATGAGTAAACTGAGGAACTGAGAGGTTAAGGTTTTTGAGGGAGCATCAATATGTATGCTGAAGTCCCCTGGTATGAGGGCAACAGTTGAGGACAGAAACTGTAAGCCAGGTACTGAACTCACTGAGGAAAGAATACTGGAGGTCAGCAGACAACAGCTACTAGAATTTTGATTGGGTGGTAAAGATTGAATGAACTTCAAAGGACAGAGTACTGAGGGATGATGGTAGAGAGGGAACCTGGAAGTAGCAACAGGGAGCAAGAAGAATTCTCCCACCCTCACTACAACTATCAGGGGTGGGGAGGGTAGGAAGAGGTGGGGAATGAGTAGAAGTGTTACTAATGCTAGAAAGGGAGGCCAGAGAGGCTCAGCAAGGAGTCAGGTTTCAGTGAGAGCCAGAAGATGGAAGGAATGGGAAAAGGAAATGATTCAAGATGAAAGCAGGTTTGTTATCTATAGAGCATGTGCTCCATAGGGCACAGTGGAAGGGATGGATAGCTTTAGAGGGGGACACTTGTGGGGGGAGGGAGGATTTAAGGGCACGGAAATAAGGGAGCAGATAGTGCAGGAAAGAGAATAGGTTTGAATAATGCTAGCCAAGGGTTCAAATCACTGAGATGAGAAGGATGCAACCAGATACGAGTCTTTAATTATTGAAGAATGAGTTCAGGTAGGTTATCACAAGGGTGTGGTGGAACCAGCTCTAACTGGTTTGCTAAGAGATTATTAAATTTTCAATGTAAGCATTTACACCTCAGAAATAGCTACGGTTCAGAGCAATCTATTGTTTTTTTGATTGTCTAGACTTAAGAATGTCTATTAAGTTAATAATGCAGATTATTCTTAAATGTATGTTGATACATTTTTTTTTTCAGAGAGCCTAGTTGTTAAACATTACGCAGCTCACTCCTGTACTGCTCTATATGTACTGCCTGAGCACAAATACAGCAGAAGATTCAAGGAAGGAAATCATCCTCAAACTGGAGGCTTGTTGACTGAAAGCTAACAACAACAATAATAATGGACATGTACGATAGGATTTAAGGTTTGCTTTACATCCGTCACCTCATTTCAATCTCACAGCACCCCTGGTTATCAATATCTCTAAGAGTTTGGCCTCAGGGCAGTATCCTCTCAGGGCTTTAAGCAGCTCCGCAGAAGGGACCAGTGAGGGGAGGTTCCTTCCCTGAGGGCAGGCTAGGCCTGATGGACTGGCACCTACCTGAGTTTCTTCCCCACTCCCTGGAAGGCAGGAGACCAGCCACAGAATGGCTTTTTTCCCTTCTGCCAAATTAGGAAGAGGCCAAGTGAGGACACTGGCATGGAATGGAATGGTGTTTGTATATATTACACAGCACTTTTAACGGGGACTGGAAAGGTGTCACTAAATTAATCACCAACCAATGTCACAACTAAAAATGTCTTCATAAGCCCTGCCCAGGACAGATGGTTCAGCCTCTCTGGGAAGTATATGAATTCTTTCAGGCCACAAGGGGAGGTCTCAGCAAAACACTGCTTCAATGCACTAATCACACTCTAGTAAATTACTGAAGTAATCATTTACTAAATGGTCCCTGAGTAACTCTCAAAACAATTGACTTTCACTAAGAGAATAGCTGATTCAACCTACAGGATCTTGCTGTCTCTTACTACAGCATTATGATAATGCTCAGTCACAGATGAGCAAAAGTAAGCAACTAATACAACCCAGTGCCAACCCACTTACTAACAAAACCCAACAGGGCCCAGAGTTGTGTCCCTAACCCAAACCATTCATCCAAATCACTACACACCCATTAGACAATGTGTCCTAGCTATTTCCCCAATAAAGAAAATAAAATAACAGCTTTTTTTTAAATAAAAGAACTCGTGTTAATTCCTTCAAAATTCCTGACTCTTAGTATGATAAACTTAAAAGAAAATCTTCAGTGATCAATGAGGTTTAATACCTCAATTTATCTACATTAGTTAAAACATCATAGGAATTTCAAGGGCTCTGTTCCAAACTTCACAAGTTCTGAATAGTCATTAACCTTAGGAGGAAACAACAGAGTTTTAATGACTGCATTAAGTCAATGTCAGTGCTTCTCTTAGAAAGAGGGAGACAAAGCTGAACCAAAGAGCCTGTCAATTCTACCCCCTTCAAACTCTGCCTTCAGTTACTGATGGAACATCATCCTATTTCACTTTGCTTCCTTCCCAATTAGTCCCTCACCTTCACCACGTAGGCATGCATAAATTTAAATATACCATTAATGGCACACGTAAACATACACATAACCATCTAAATACACAGGTGCAAAGAGGAGCCTCCCTTGGGGCCTTGTCCTCAGCTTTGTTACTAATATGTAGAGGAGAAACATCTTCCTTCCTATAAGCACGCCAACATAATTTCTCTATCTGCAGTCTCGTTGCAAAGGCTGTATACGTATAAAGAGGGAAGATCTTCCTTCACAACCAAGTTCCAAGGGATTTTATTAACCTTTCTCTGGAAACAACCTCATTAGGAAATATCCTAATAGTATGATCCAAATGTCAGGATTTAAATATTATACCAACCAGGCAAAACTGTATTTAAATGATGAATGGACAAAAGTTTAAAAGCATTCATTCTTCCTTCTATTTTCTACCATGAACAGTTCAAAACTTAAAGAGTAATTATATTTCAGGCTGGGGTTTACTCCCAGTTTCATGAAGGTACCTGGACTCTTTATAAACTGTGAAAAACAATGTGGTCAAAGAGAAATGAAGCATCACTGCTGAAAGGTATTAAACAAAATAAAATCCTAAAGAGTTTTGGGTAATTTATCTAGAAAAGATGATCCTGATGAAAAAGGACCTTTTGACATTTCCTAACAATGATATCCTAAAAGGGAATAGGAAGGCAAATATGGGACTACTTCGTTTTTCCCCACCTTGCTTCCTATAATCCACATGCACCAAAGAAATAGCCAACATCTCAGTTTATACTGGCTTGAGTCCATTCCCTAAAATTCTAACATTTTTCCATTGAATCTAGGAAGGAAGATCAGACCTTCTGATGTGAGGTTACCAGATGGATATCTGCAATAGTACTGCAGAGAAACAAAGACAATTTCTGGGACTGGCTCAAAGAATAGTGTTTCTTTTTTTTTTTTTTTTTTTTTTGGTGAGGCGATTGAGGTTAAATGACTTGCCCAGAGTCACACAGCTAGGAAATACTATGTGTCTGAAGCCTGATGTGTCTGAAGACTCAGGTCCTCCTGACTCCAGGGCCCCATGCTCTATCCACTACAACACCTAGCTGCCCCTAAAAACAGTGTTTCTTTAACAAGAAAGGCTAAGAACTGTCAAACTGAATCAAAGCCAATGATTGAACCAAACCAAGATTCTGCTTCCGATGAGAACCAACTGGTCCTTTATGAGGAAGTAGGATTAATAACCTAGTATAATGTCTACATGCTAAGGTGCTTAATAAATGACTGTTGACTGATCAACCTCCCAACTTGGCCCAAATAGCCCTAACTACCCTACTTTAATAATGTATTACAACCCTATTATCCATTAATTTAGGTGTCAATCAATCTACATCTCATCTTGCCACCATGGGCCCTCCCTGTACTGATGCCCCAAACCCCTCTACACCCTCTCATCAGCTACAATCTTGTCCATTTTTTTCCCTAAAATCTGCACAGAGGCTTCACTCAACCCACTGGAGACTTTCTTTTGGTTCTTTTCCTTGGTGTGTTCTCCTATATAAAAGAGTATTCCTATTCTCTTTTGTCCTCAATTTGCTACTGTTGAGCTCAAGAAGGATCTGCTAAAATCCATTAATATAAAGGTTTGATAAGTAAGTCTGTTCATCCTGTTCAGATCCTTCAAGACTTTTCAGACTTCAGTCATCTCCCTCCCACTCCTCTCCTTGAGTCTTCACCTTCTCAGACCAAAGAGGGCTTGGGTCATCATTTTAGTCTGTTCTCATGCTGCTGTCCCCTGCAACCTTCCATTCCCTTAATCATTTAAGCTGTCCTTCTTTGGACCAGAACTGCATACAATATTCCAAGGAGAATTCATCCCAATTTTGTACAAGGGCAGAAGAAGAGTATTTTCAGTTTTGTTCCAAATGCCCTTTCCAGTGAAACCCTGAATTTAGCTACCTTCAGGCACATATTGAGAACAGTTGTCATTACTTTCCAAATCCTTTTCTTCAATGACAACCAACAGATGTTTAGAATCTTATTTACCTACCCTAGTCTGTCCACCAAATCCCAGAGCACATTAGCTGTTGGGACCAAGGGAGAACCATCATACAAGACCACAGAAGCTCCTGTTGCAAGCACAGACACCAGCCAATTCCACATCATCCAGCCAATCTGGAAGAGACAAAAGGACCAATGTTTACACCAAGAGAAATCTCTTCATTCACTCAGCATCTTATTTACTTGGATGGCAGCCATCTATGATGGATCAAGAAGGTGTATTCCCTCCCACAATTAGACATTTTATACATTTAAAGCAGTAGGAAAGGATGTGTAGGACACATGAACAATACCATAACTAACTCAAAAGAATTTAAAAAGACAATAGGGCAAGAGTCAAGACAGGCAGGGAAGAGAAGAGATTAAGAATATGGTTATTCTCCATACATAACAGATTACCACTGGAAGACCAGCTCCAAGCATTATAGTTCACTTGGCAGTAAATAAAGAAGTGGAGACCCTCCCTCCCCCTCATTTAGTTCTAGGAATCCTCCAAACAAGGAAATGAAATACTGTATTCTCTCTGTGGCATAAGTCCTCAATTAAAGACAAAATTATAAAGTTTTAACAAGAAGAACCATTGCCTACTAAAGGCTGGCTCCCTGATGTAATCAGATCTGAAACGGCAAAGGAAAAGAAGGTTCAGAGAAATTCTAGCTGTATGTCAACTACACTGGTTACCTAGAGAATTCACTACATTGGTGAGCATGACAAAAATCACAAAACCACAAATCACCAGAGCATTCCACACTGCAGAGCCTCTTAATTCCTCCATCTTTGGCATCAGCTGACAATGACATAACCCAGTTTTCCAAAGAGGGTTAATTTAAAGTTTCCCATTCAGTATTACAAGAAAGAGCAATAGCAAATTAGGTTTAGCTTGCAACTCTCATTTAAATATTATTTTTTTAAAAGACCATGAAACTCATTTTGTTAAAATACAAAATTGAAGTCCTCCCTCCAGCTTGGTAACACTACCCCAAAAAGAAGAGCAGTGGCTGAGAGTCCTCAATAGCACCACTTCCCCTCTATTCACAGCCAATAAGACTGCAGGAGGACAAGGAAGAGGTGTTATGGCTGGCCTGGTACAGCTGGTACCTGGCACATGCAGATGAAGCCACTTAATAAGGATAACACTGTGATGCTGCAGACAATCATCATCCCTTACAAGTGTATTAGCCCTTTATAGTTCAAGGCACTTTGGAATCCATTATCTCATTTGCTAAATAGGTTATGATGGAAATAGTATGCATAAAGATGAAACTATTCCAAACCATAAGAGGCAGCATAACCTCAGTTTAAATTTACCATCTGAATAAACGTCCCAGATCCACAAGCACTTCTATCAGCTGATAAAAGGCCCTATTGTTTTAAGTCATCAGGCTCCAAATGGGACAGATGAGCTGTCTCCTCCCTTTAGTAGATGGGTGCTTTTTAAAATTCAAAACCTCAAGTCCATAAAATATTGATTTATTGAACTCTGCCTTAAAATTCTTCAGGAAAGAATACCAAATAAGAAATCTGAATGGATAATGACATCCAATGCTTAATATAATCCTGGTTACAGGGGCAGATGCCAGGTGACAGCTCTCCTCAAAGGTATAGGTACTCCTTGGGCCAACATATCTAAGCAACACACACTATCCAAGAGGATATATGCTACTCTCTCCCCTCTCCTACCTTCCTACCTCCACATAACCCAGCCCTAGTCTGGGAGAGAACTATCCCTCTCCCCATTCCCATTCCACCCCAGGGTAAACCACAAAGATCCTTCAGCCCAAGATTCTGTCCTCTAATAGAGGCAATGCCAGACAGAAGTGAGGGGCATGACCTCCACATATGGGATTTCAAATAAATCATTTAGGATTTTGTTACCAAGTAATTTATAATTCTCCCTCTCCCCCCACGGTATAATAGAAAGGGTACTGGACTAAAGGTCAAGACACTTGTAACCTAGTTCTAGCTTTACCATTAACTAGCTTCTTGACCTCAAGTATGTCTCTGGGACTCAGTTTTCCCATTTGTAAACAAGACAATGCTTTCTAGAGTCTCTTTCAATTCAATTCAAGTATTAAGAGCCTCTGTGTATGGCACTTTGGTAGCCTCTGGGGATACAAAATTGAAACAATTCTCCCTCAAAAGCCTTACATTCCGCTAGAACATTTTAGGACTTTACATTTCTAAACCTATTCATGTTACTCTTCAAGAAAAAAGTTCTTTATGATTACCCTGCACATAAAGGAGTATTAGCTTTTATTTGTCCTTAAACCTACCTCTTTCAGGCTTCAACAAGAGCAGGCCAGGGGTAGTTCTAATGTCTGGAATTCAGTGAAAAAAATCCCATTTGCTCTATATATCCATCTCTATGAATTAAAGATCTCAATCAAACCCCGTCAGTCCTGATCTTTCCAGAATGGAAAGACTCAACCTTTACTAGATGTTCCATGGCAGCCTTTCTATCCTATTACTTAGACAAATTATCCTTTCTCAGACTCCCACATCACATGGAGAAAGATTTGTACATACTGAGGTCAGAGTGGGCAGCAAGAACAGGGTGGGATTTGATCAACTGCAAGAGAAGATATACTGGCAAGAACAACAAATAAACATGTGTTGGGATTCAGGAGAAGAATCTTCCTCATAGACTAATGATCTAAAATGGTCTGATTTTTTTTTTGTACTACCTCAGGGATTCTATTAATGTGCACAGATGTAGAGGAGAGAAAAAAAGCAAGAGAAAACAATATGCTGAACTACTGAAGGAGTTTCCGAGTCAGAGATGAAGGGGAGAGGAAAAGGAGGAGAGAAGCATTTTATTTAAACACACACAATCCTTTCAAGGCATCTGAACAAAAACCAAAATACTTACTGTGGTATAGTACATGATGATGTCATTGCTGGTTGTGTCTCCATGAAGAATGTGTTCCTTGAGATGCTGGAGTAGGGTGCCCTACAGAAACAAGGAATAAAAACACATTCAATGGAGCTATTTTCTTTTTGATACATCTTCGTACAAAATGTATTTAGGTAACTCAGGCACACTGCTCAAGGAAAAGAAAAGAGCACACATCTTTTTCCACTCCAAAAAACTTGATTTCTGAGCCCTTGTGAAGTGATGAGTAATTTCATCATGTCATCCTGTTGCCACTGACACCTGGGAAATGCTAACAAATTGGACAGGAAAATGCCAAGGGGCTTTAAAACTTTCCATGTTTTCTGGTGCTGGATGGACTAATGGGCCTTGCATGGAACCTGCCAACTGTTGGCTGAAAATAAAAATGATAGATAAGAGTCTACAATAAAGATGGTGCCCCCAGTGTAAACAGCATATGCTTTTGGAAACAAATACAAAATGAAACTCTGCAAATCATGCTCCCCTTTCCAACTGAATGGGGATGGCCTGGATATGGGAATGCTATCCATGTGACAAATGGCACAACACTGCCACCTACTAGTCATCTATCTATTTAGCAGACTAGAAGTTAGAACTCAGGACTCAGCCAAGGGCCTAGAATAAAATGAATTATCTAAGGCCAGGGCACTCTTCTGCTGAATCCTAACTCTCATTTCTCCAAAACGTCATGATTTGGGAGGTGGTGGGGAGGATGACAGATGGATCAGACTTCTTACAGACTGCAACTATTTGCGAGTAGGGACTGTTTCACTCTTTGAATTTGTATTCCCAACACCCAGCACAGTGCCTGGCATGCAGCAGGCACTGAATAAATGCTTAGCAACTGGGACAAAGAGAAGAGATTCCAAATGGCAAAAGGGAGATGCTCTTCCCAAAAAAACATCCATGGCTTAGAGTTTTTATAAAACTAGGTAATCAGCACTGGTTCTGATAAAGGCAGAATGAAATAAAAACAGAGAAATGCAGGCTGGAAGAAAAGAAGGGCCACCACGGGCCCTTTGCAAGAGCTCCCTGTACTTTGGGACCAAGTCCACCTCTGACACCTCCAAAGATTTAAGTCACCCCTGCAGCAAAAGGGCGTTCTCCTAAGGCAACTTCATCCCCTGAGGAGTAGGGCACAGACCCACCTATCTGACAATCGGTCTAAGAAGAAGGAATAGACAGAGAGCTGGCATTTAGGTCATGCCGGTATGATCTCCTTTGATCCTCACAAGGGCCTACGAGGCATCTACCGCCCCTTTACCAATAAGCAAAAAAAGGAAAGCTCCAAGCACTTTACTGCCTGGCTCACGGTCCCTGGGCCAGCACCAAAGGTCCAAGGCCCAGCTCTCTGCTGAACCATATGAGATATGCTCCTTCCACCACAGCACACTGCCTCTCCTAGAAGAAGCTGAAAGACAGAAGGAAGGAGATTGCCCAGAACAAGGGGTTGAACCTCAGTCAGCCTGGTCAGCAGAAACACAGCTGTGACCCAAAGCTTGGCTACCTACAGGTGCTTCCTCCCCTTTATTATTGAAGCCAACGCTTCAGGGTTCACCATAAGGCATCAGGAGCCTCACAGCAAAGAAGTAGAGGAAGGGAGAGAGATTTCTTTACAATAAAAAAAAAAAAATCAACTAGTGAGCTGTTATCTGATTAACATAATCCCAAAACCAATACAGGGAATTACTAAGAGGAAAATAAATTATTAAATGCACAAAAAAGTATACCTACTGATCATAACCATTACCCCTCTCTCTTTTTAACTTGTTATTAAAAACTAACATTCAAGTAATATTTTTGAAGTAGTCAGAGAGGATGAACCACTTGAGCCTCTGCTGACCGATTAATCCTTCCCTTCAAAGCTATAAAACGTTAGTCTAACAGAACCAGTTTCCATTAAAACATGGAAAGAACAGACATAAATGGTTTGTTTATCCCTCCCTCTTTTCCCCTTCCCCTACTCTCCTGGACTTGAACAGCTTCAGTTGAGGGAAGAAGGTTTAAAAGAAATAGCAAGGCCCAGGGATAAGAGCTGCCTTCAAAGAGGGCAGATTATAATTTGACGAAAAGTAGAAATTACAGAAAATTAGTAGAACACAATACACACAAACTCTTGAAGAAATTTAACTTTTGTAAAGCAAATCTGATTTCAAAGCATTACTTAAGTGAGCCCTGTAGTACATCATATGTTAAATAAACAATCACCCATTACGGATTTTCTTATATCAGGTTTGCATAAAGGAGAATACACATGTAAATTCACAGTTTCCATTACCACAAAATAGTGAATACATCTAGTAAAGAAAACAGGCTGATACAACGGGATTTTGTTTCTTCTACAAACATTTCTCTGTTTTAAACTTAGTATTTCAGATAAAAGGCTTTAAGATATTTCACTCTATAATCAAATGCCTTTCTTGCAGTGAGGTAGGTCTCAGGCAGAGATTCAGATTAAGTTTCAAACAGGACAGACAAAGCAGATTTCTAAGATCTTTCAGAGGTAAGGGAATGCAAAGACAGACTTCAGTAACCACTACATCCTACAAAACTATTTGGCCAACAGAGTTGACTTCTGCTACTGCTTTTCGATCTAGTTTAAATGATTACACTTTAGAAAGGGTCACTGGTGCCTCCTTTTCTAGAAATTTGAAAGTTTATATTAAAAGGGAAAAAAATGATTTTTTTTGCTCAAAATATGCCAGACTTAGTAATTTTATGATCAAACTAAATTATATATAATACAGTTTTATGTTCGTAAATTAACAATGTGACTTTAGAACTACAGACAATGGTAAAGTATGATAATGTATTTATTTCCATTCGCTCCCAAATTTTTCTCATTTCATATCTGTCTTCTAAATTTTGGGGAATGCAGAGGCAACACAGTATAGTAGTAAGAGTAAGGATGACCTTGGAATCCAGATGATTTTAGCTGGACTCCTACCTCTGATATCCAGTAGCTGTGTAACCACAGGCAAGTCACTGAACCTGGGTGATTCTTGGGTTCTTCATCTATAAAATAAGGATAATAATCTCCACCTCAAAGACCAAATGAGCTTACGTTTGTAAAGCACTTTGTAAACTGTGAGACACTAAAGAAATTTCAGCTATCATGATGGTGATGAACACTGGCAAATGTTTTCTTTCCCTACTTCTTCAGGAAAGCAATGCTTCACGGGGAAACAATGAGGACCGATCACTTTACACTAAAGTAAAAATTATTTCTGGGCCCTAAGTCACTTGTTAGGTCCGTGTATGTATGCAAGAAAAAGGAAGAGTTCATTAGAAGTATAAACACTGTACAGCAGGCAGCATGTCTCAACTGGGTTTTAGCAGCAGAGTAATTTGCATTTTTAAAAAACTACTTGGATTTCCACCAGTGTTATTTCTCCTGATGCAAACGATGCCCAATACTCATGACGGTTTTAATGCTGGCAGCTGCCAGACTGGTAGAAGCACCCCCCAAACTGTCACCCTCCTTCTCTTCGCTCATAAAGCGAGGATTTTCAGCACTTTCCTAAAGCAACACAAACTGTGACCACTACCCCTCTGAGCCATGGAAGGCCGACCTACCCCAGCGGAATGCACCATGCACTTGGGAGCTCCAGTGGTACCCGAGGAAAACATAATAAAAAGGGGGTGGCTGAAAGGCAGCTGCTCAAACTCCAGCTGGGGGGCTTGGTCTCCTTTCTCTGATCCAAGGAAGTCATCTAGAAATACGCTGTAGGTAGATACAGAAAACAAAGTTGTTAAAGATCATCCAGGGTTTTCTGAAATGTGGCACATAACCTGAGGGTCATCTGAGAAAAAGTTCTCGTTCACAATGCAATGGAACCTTATCTTTCTAGAAGAATAAAATAGCACTTTGAATGCTAGAAAATTACACAGTTAAACCTCACTAAGTTCATCCTAATTAAAAAAAAGTTTGTTTAAATTAATAACAGCTTTTCATTTTGAAGCAGTTCAAAAGAAATGTGGTTATTATTGTTTTAGCAGTCACAGGGTCAATGTACAGGGCCAAGTTTACTTAGCCAAGTTTACTCTATTTCAGCAGTGCAGGTAATTTCCTACAATCCTTCTCCACCTAAGGTTTTCAAGACTTGTTACAGACCAAAAAAATCCATCGCCTGGTGGCCATTTTCCTGGTCAAGAGCTTTCCTGCACTTAGCTGGGCTAAGATAGCTGCTGGGCTTGCCCCTCAAGACCTTCTGGTGCAAAGGAGGGCCTTCCCAGAGCTCCACTTGGCTAACATAAAAGAAGCCCTGAAGTTGGACCTTAGGAGATGTTAGAGAATTTTATAAATGCTTTAATAAACTCAGCAAATAAAAATCATTTGTAATTATCACATTCATTTTTTGTATGCCATCACTGTCAAAGGGGCTCTTCAAATAAATGTACTAACTTTCACTCTTAAAGAGGCTAATTCCCTGTTTTCACTAATTATCTGATTTGGGCAGTGAAGTGGTACAGGGGATAGAGCATAGGGCCTGAAGTCAGGAAGACCTGAGTTCAAAACAACCCCCAGACACTTACTAGCTGTGTGACCCTGGGCAAGTCACTTAACCTCTGTTTACCTTAATTTCCTCATCTGTAAAATGGGATAATAACAGCACCTACTTCTCAGGTTTGTTGTGAGGATCAGATGAGATAATAATTGTAAAGGGTTTAGCACAGTGCTTAACACCTAATGAGCACTATACAATTATTATTTTTATTATTGTTATTATTAGCAAACTCCTCCTTCCCTAAAGATAGGACAAAGACAGTCCAGAAGGTCCAAACTATTGCATGTTCCATGTTAGGAGAGCTAAAGAGAACTATCTAGAGAGCTAAGTTCAGGGATTTGCCCAGGGGTCACCCCAGTCAGTATGTGTCAGAGGCGAGATTTCAACCCCAGTTCCCATGGCTCCATGGCCAGCTCCGTCCACTAGGCCATACTGCCTCTGAGTGGCCGTGCCATGGAGAGGGGATCAAATTAATTCCCCTTTACTGTATTATAAGATGTATGCCACTTGTCTGCAAGTTCAAGAACCACTCAATGACTTTCACTATGGTCCATGCTTTTTGCAGCTATGTGCCTTATACCCAGCAAAAAGCAAATGCTGCAGGCTGCTCACCAAGAATGACAGGCCAGGAGATCAAACCTCATGGAGGCCTCAAAGGCCTCCTCCCTCAGTTATGGCAGACCACGCACTGTGTGGCCACAGAAAAAGGCAAAGTTCCTTGAGGTGCCTTTTCTCTATCTTGAGATTAACAGAAACATAGGCTAGGGAATCAAACTGGAAGAAACCATAAAGAAATAATCTCATCCAATTCCCTCATCTGACATGTAAGTAAGTTGAGGCCCAGGACAGTGAGGTGAACTCCTCCATTCCAGACGGTAATCAGGTGAAAGAGCTGAGAATCTCCAAAGCCTCCAAAGAGCCCACCCAAAAGCCTACCTGCCCATCCCTCACCCTCTGTCCGTACAAAGTCCAACTGTTCTATTTAGAAAATGTTGTTTTCTACCTGTCACTGGAAAGAAAAAAGAAAAGTTCAGCCTCAAGACACTTGCTAAGGATGACAATGCTGCGATGAAAGCAGAGCATTTCCATCAGTCGGGCAACAAGCCTTTCTCCAGCATTTCCTCTGCACCAGGCACTGGGCTCAAAGCGGTGTTATACTTTCTTATACTGGAGGGTATCCTTAAGGACGCTAGAGCCTGACCCTGAGGAACTCTGAGGGGTTAGAAAGTACATCAAAAAGAAGGTATCTCTATAGTAAATAAACACCACACACTACTTACAAGTGTCAATAACATTATTCACTGCTGACTTTTACAGCCAACAAAAGGCTTGTTTGTGCCTCCACTCCTACAGGAATTCCATTTATATAAAACGCTTAATCCAACAGGTACTTGACAAAAAGAAAGCCTTTTCTTTCAAATGAGTGATAAATCAAACCAAATTGCTACCACTTTTGTTGCTTTGCTAAAACTGGAAAGCTCAGAGGATTTTTTTGCCCTAGCGCAGTCAGTGTATCTGTGTACAGATGTGTTTTTAGTTTATCTGGGGCATCCAGAAACCCAAAGACAAATAGTACTGGCAAGTGAGTTGCACAGGTTTAATGAGGGAAGCTTCTTGTATTATACAAAGCTAAACGCAGTGGATAATGCAGCCTACCCAATGTTCCCCATTACTGATAAACACATTCTGAATGTAAGAGATGCCCACCTTTGGGTCAGACATTTCAAAAGTGGTACACTCAGACAGCTTTCTACATGGCAGAATCATAACACCAATTCTAGTTTCCCCGCCTGGAGGTACTAAAAATAGGATGTCAGAGCCAGAAAACTCTGCAGAGAGGAGATGATTTCCAACTCTGACATGCTAACTTCCTATCCCTCACACCCAATTCCCAGATGAGTAAGCTAAGACTCAAAGTGACAAAATAATATGGTGACAGTTACAATGAGTTGGTGGCAGAGCCACGACTAGAACCCCAGGATCCTCATACCCTGTCCAGCCAAGACACCAACACTCTCTGTGCTTCAATCTACCAATTGAAAAAAAGAGGAAAAAGCCTCAGTGACACAGAACCATCAAGCTGACTCCCATTTTCAGGTGAGTTCACCTGTTTACGTGTACAGACTCTCCACGAGGAAGGAAGTTCAAGTTCCAACTCTGTAGCCTGGCCCAGTATGAAGTGGCCTCTGGTGACCCTCACTACATCAATTGCTATAGGAATCAGTCAGCACCTTAAGGATGATCAATCAATGCACTGGTCACTTGGCCTGTCTACTCTCCTCCCTTCTGCTCCAAGACATCTCCCTTTATCTGCTCTATATAAACTCTCACAAGAACTCAGAGGACATCTAGGCCTAGTCCTCCTCCTCCATGAAGCCCTCCTGGACCACTGCGCTCTCCCCCACCTCTGAGTGACAGAAACAGTATTACTCCTGGAGCCCTCACTGTATCCTACCTGGAACAATTCTGTAATTATTCAAGACAGGTCACAGAGTGCAATGGAAAGAGTATTGGCTTTGAGATCAGAGAACCCGGGTTCCAATTCCAGCTCTGTCACTTACCAAAGATGTAAAATGGCTAAGTCCCTCCCTTCTCTGGGCCTCAGCATAAAAGGGACCTGAAGAGAAGATCTCACCTGTGAGGCCACTTCTTCATTCCTCTGCGGTTCCCACTCCTGACTCTATGGACTTTGTGCTCCGACCATTTCCCAGCAGCCTTCTCACCCTAGCCTATCCATCTCCCCTAGCAGCCTTGTGGCCCTTCCTCTAGCTGGGCACACCCTCCGGAATCTCCCTTTGAAGGAAAGGCCCAGGCCAGCCACGTTCCCTGATTCCCTCCTCTCCAGGCTCTCTTCCTAACTCTCCAGACTCCTTTATATACATTTTTCCACTTTCTACACATGCACCCCACCCCACTGTCCCAAGCCCTCTGCTTTTCTAGCTCCCTTTTATGAGTTGTCTTCCCCCATCAGAATGTAAGCTCCTTAGGGCAGGAACTATCTTTCTTTTTGCTTGTATTTGTATTCTCAGGACTTGGCAGTGTCTGGCACAAAGTTAGCTCTTAATAAATGTTTGATGACTTGATTTTTTATCATGGGCCCCTTCAGCAGCCTGATGAAACCTATGAACCCCTTCTCAGAATTTTTTAAATAGAAATTAAGTCATAATTGAAGGAACAAGTAAATTTCAGTTAGAAGTTAGTAAAAATAAAGATGTAATTTTTCCCCACCCAAGGTCATGGGTTCACTGAAATCTATCTACACAAGAATCCTAGCTAAGAAGTCTAGTCCCAAGGTCTCTATTCTCATAGAGAGCTATTTTTCCAATGGAAGCAAATACAGTTTCCACTGTATCGGGGCAGGTCAAAGCAATAAATCAGCATACCTATGAGGAATCTTCGAAATGTCAATCTTCTCAACGGAGCCCACATATGGTATCACCACCACTTTTTTCAAGTCAGGAAGCCCTAAGAAAGGTAGGAAAAACAGAATATGCTACTTTCTTCTCTGTCTTGGTTTCAGAAGACTGTACAATAAAAGCGGCTAGAGAAGAAGGCTTTTGTTAAATGTGGAAGAGGAAATTGTGAAGGCAATTCGGAGAGCTCAGAAATTGTAAAGAAAGCCAGAGGTTGAATCTGGTGAAAAGAAATTGGGGAAAACAAAATGACAAGCTGAACAAGAACTACTCGACCTGATGGAGGAGAAAAATAAGAGAAGGCCCTGAGGAGGAAGAAGAGAAACCAGAGAAACAGAAGAAAAAAGAGGAAACGTCAAGTGGTAAAACAGGGAAGAGGTTAGTTACTGAGATAAGGAAAAAGATGTTGGATTTAGGGGTCCTGTTATTAAATGATGCTGAAGAGGCTCTCTCACAATCATGTTAACAAGGTGCTGATGCAGCAAGTGACCAAGAGGTTTGAAAAACATACAAATTGACAAATACACAAAAAACCCATCAAAAATACAAATTGAGGCTCTTTCTGAAGACGAAGGAGCAAGATACTTCAAAGAGAAATCAGCTGCCTGTCCTCCAAGGAGCAATAAAGTAGAATCACAGGTAGTAGCAGTTGAGCTATCAGGTCTGAGGAAGAAAGAAGAACTATGGCAGCTCCCTGGTGAGGGGCACTGAGGCACACGTGTTGAATTCATAGCAACAAAAGTACTCAGTTTTCCTATTGGGCCTGGCATCCAAAATGTGACAGAGAATTCCATAAGACTCACCAAAATGTGTGGGAGTTCCCTACTTCTGGTGAGTCAAACAGAAGGCACAGACAATACTTACTGCCAGGAGGAAAATAGAGCCAGGAATTATGAAATCTGGGGCAAGACCCTGACACCCTTGAGGCACATGTTTTCCTTATTGCTGTCCATGCTATGCAAGGGATGGAGAAGCAAAAATCAGATTTGGCCCATGAAGAGGTGGTTAAGAGGATGCCTGAGGATAGGAATTCTGGCCCGTGGCCTAAAACATAAGAATGACAGAACTATGACCAGGAATGTAGTACAAAGGAGAAGGATGACGCAGAAGAACTTCCAAGGGACTTTAAAATGAAAAGAAGAAGGTGCATATGTAACTGCCAAGCTCAACACCATAGAGTACAAAAGAACAGCAGGAGAGACAGACATTCAGAAGACCACAAGAAACAAGTCTAAGAAAGGAGTCCAGCACCCACAAACCTCTACGCTCAAGCATACAGAGGACAACAACAAAACGGCAAAGCCAGGCCCAAATGCCAGAGGCAAATCTGACCTCCCAAATCTCACCAAGATTATAGACAATGCCCACGATGTGAATGTGACTCTGTACAAGGGGCAGCTTGTTCCAGAGAAGCAGGGTGGGTAAGAGAAAGACTGGAACAGCACTTCAGATGAAGGAGAAGTGCTCAAGTGAGGAGGTCCAGGAAGCCCTGAGGGGAGTCTAGGAGAGATCACTAAGGTGAAGATCAAGGCAGAGACAAAGAAGAGGGGACTGATAGCCAAGGTATACTATATGGACAGACTGGACTTAAGGAGGAAACAGATGTATTCCAGACATAGATCCCAGGCCTGGCACCCAGACGTGATGGAAATTTAAATTATCTAAAATTTATAGATATCTCTTAAAGCTCTAGCTCTACCAAAAGCAAAACAGCTAATAATTGATTGATTTGTCTTGAGGGTAATTTCCTCTTTATAAAAAAGGAACCAAGAAGAGAAAATAACATTCCTGATCTGACTCTCACCTAACAGAAGAATTACTTCTGGTGGAAATGGCTGGAACCTGTACATTTCAAGGGGGAAGAAGCCCATTTTCTCCTACTATTTGGGCCAGCAAAATAGAAAAAAATCAAACACAGTGTAACATATACCCTAAAGGGTTCTGAGAAAAGACTGATAGGATTCCAACAACTAAAATTATACAAGAGAAGCCGGTCCAAATGGGATGGAAGACCCAAAGAGAAAGAACTCTGATGTGAAGAGAAAAGGGGAGTTGCCTGAAGCAACAGGAAAGTCACCCACGAACTTAGATTTTTAAAAGAAGATGGAAGCCAGAGCAGGTATCAGAAGATGAATACAAAAAAAAAGTAAGAATACTGTCAGGGAAGAAAAACTAACATTGGTGAGAAAAGGTAAGAAAAGGGGTTTAAAAGCTGTATTGGATATTGTACGATGATCAACTGTGAATGACTTAGCTATTCTCAGCAATACAAAGATCCAAAACTATTTCAAAAGACTTCTGATGAAAAATGCTATCCACCTCCAAAGAAAGAACTGATGGAGTCTGAATGCAGACTGAAGCTTACTTTTTTTACTTTGTTTTCCTTGGGGTTTTTTTTTTTTGGTCTATGTTTTCTTTTGCAACACAGCTAATATGGAAATATGCTTTGGATGACCACACATGTATAATCTATATCAAACTGCCTGCCTTCTCAAGGAGGGGGGGGGAAGGAAGAGAATTTAGAACTCAAATTTTTTTTAAGTGAATGTTAAAAATTGTTAATACAAGTAATTGGAAAAAAAAAATATAAAAAAATTTTAAATAGATAAATAAAGCTCTACTGGAGAAAAGAGGCAGATCAAAGAAGGGATAAGGACCACTGCTTGAGATGGATGAGACAATGATAACTAAGGGAAAGCAGAGCTGCTAAATTCATAGTCTGCTTTTTCCTCAACCAGGAAAATGAACCTCTGGACCTGAACAGGGAGAACAAAAATGGCTAAAAAGAAAGCTGATAACCAGTATAAGTAAGGAAATAAATAAGGCTTACCTAGCTACCATTGATGAATTTAGGTCAAATGCCTACATGAACCATATCCTAAATAATGAAAGTACTGGCAGATGTGACAACTAAGCCACTGGCAGCAATATATGAAAAACCATGGAGAATAAGAGAGGATCCACAGGAATGGAAAGAAGCAAAGTTGTACAAATTTTTTAAAAGGTAAAAAGAATGGAAGCTACAAGCTATAGGCTAGACTTCAATTCCTGGAAAAATTCTAGAACGTATTATAAGAGATGATTAGTAAGCAGCTACAAAAGTAAGTCATCACCAAGTGCCAGGATGGTTTCATGAAAAACAGGTCATACCATTCTCCTATCTTCTTTCTGACGAGGTTACTAAGCCCCTAGATAAGGGGAATGTTGTCTCTGTAGCTGACCTACATTTCAGCAAAGCACCTGACAGTATCTCCTGCTATTCCATGGTAAAGCCAGAGATACATGAACTAGACAAGAAAGGATAGATTCAGAAAAAGCGAGATGGCCAGGCCCAACGAGTCATCATGAACGGTTCTGGGTCAGCTTGGAAGGCAGTTTCCAAGGGTCTCATGGATGTGGTTCGGTCTTGGGCTTTTTAACATTTGTATCAACAACTCGGAAAAAAGTGTCATCCTTGCTGAACATATAGCTGACCTTAAGCTGAAAGGGATATAACAGAGGTATGGCCATGTCAGGATCCCAAAGATAATCCCAAGCCATCCAACCACTGGGATGGATCAAGTCAGATGGCATGTAATAGAGGAAGTAGTAGGTTCCCTCTCATGCGAAGTCTTCAAGCAAAAGCTGGATGTCCCCTGGTCAGATATGTTTTAGAAAGCATTTTTGGGGGAGTATAAGATGGCCCCTTCAACTTTGAAATTCTGTGATTTCTGTGACAACAGACAAGACATTGTGCTGCCATTTTAAAAACTATAACATAATTTAGAACCTCAATCACACACTACCCCATCTCTTCCATGACTTCTGAAGTGACAGAAAACCCCCACTGCTCCCCCAATCCTACTCAAATAGGTCCTGGAATACTTCCACCTACTAGTTCAAAGCTGAGAAAACCTGATACCTTTAACAACCCGGAGCAGCTTTTCCATATGGCTGTGTTCTTTGCCATTATATACGACAGCTTCAACAGAGAAGATAAGTTTCGGCTGAATCTGGGAAAACCTGTCCAGTACACCCTGAGATGGAAAAGAAAAAAGATACCATTAATCATTCAAAAAGGAAAAGTCCCCTGTCACTAATTTTAGAATTTTAGAAGGAAGAGAATTAAGTCTGTTATAATCAGTATTCCTATATACCCACAGAACACAAAGAGAACCAGGATAAGATGACTAAAGGTATGAACAAAGCTTCACCAAAAATAAATAAATAAAAATCCTTAGGATCTTATAAGAAGAATCAAAGCACTATTTAGATTTGAAGATGAAAAACACAGAAACCACTAAATTAATAAGAAGTAAATGCTAAAGAGTAACATAATGCAGTAATTATGAAAACTGGTTGCAAGACAGATCGGCATAGCACACAGAGTACTGGCCTCAGAATCAGGAAGCCCTGAGTTCAAGTCCTACCTCGGCTGACACCCAGGGCAAGGTAAGCCACTGAATTTCTCAGTGCCCACATGTATACGAACACACATATATCCCTTGCCTCCTGAACCATGGCTCTTCCATCTAACCCTGTATGCCTACAGAAGGTGTTCCCCAGGCAGGAGGCACACAGTCCATCACTGGACCTCTTCATGAAGTCCCTGAAAGCTTGGCTGGATTTGCCAGAGCCTATCCTCCAGTGGTATGGCCTTCAAGAACCCAGAGTCACTTTCACACCACAAGAGGCACTAGAGGAGGGCTATACAAACAGGGGTTACAGGAAAGGTACAAGTCACTGAATGAAGCTGAAGGAACAGAATAAGCTTCTTAGCTCTTCATTAGACTGTGAGCTCCCTAAGAGCAGCAACTGGTTTCAGTTGTTGTTGTTGCTGTCAATTCTCTTTGTATCCCCAGCACTTAGTAGAGTCTGGCACATAGTAGGCACTTAATAAAGGCATGCTGACTTGACTGGACAGCAGAGACCATTTCATTTTCATCTCTGTACACCCAGTACATAGCATGTTTGCTGAACATGAAGAAGGATAGTATTTCCAATAGGGCTAAGATAAGAAATCAGTAAATGCTTCCAAACTCAGAGACAGCCCTGCTAGTTATGGGCCATGAAGAAGGAGTAGGATCTCCTATAGCAATCTGATCTCTTCTGCCATATATCGTAAGCTCCAGGAGGGCAAAGGTATCACCCAGAATGCTCAGCATAGAACTGACTATGCAAGGGACACCCGATAAAAGACAGACAGACCATCTGTATGCAGCTGCTCCCTGAGCTCATTTACATGGAGTCCCTTTATTTGCTAGAGTTGAATCAGTATGGTACTGAGTAAAGGGTCTTCTTAGATCAAACTCCAGTGTTCATTTGCCACGTGCTACCACAAGACAAAATATGGTTTCCAGAGATGGTCTATTACAAAAGCAAATCTTTCCGTGTTTTAATAAATTTCTGCAAAATGCATTCTACTCCTATTCAAACAGGACATTCAACAGCAAGAAACAAAAAATTTATTAGAAGTATGCTGAGAGAAGGAAGTTTTTATCACCTCAGTTCAATTACTTAAGCATTAAGCACTGTAATATGCCAATGAGTCAAAAAGCTCTCTCACAATTCACCACAAAAGCATGTATTTTCTCTGTTCTCCCTTGTCTATGATCCCCCTAATACTGTGATTGCATCTTTATTGAGTTCTGCTGTGTTCCACACACTGAGCAAATAGAATGATCTTCCTGAATTGCTAAAAGCATGAGAAAGGAGACTATTAGAACATCAGCAGCAGATACAACGTTCTGGACCAGAACAAGCAGAAATCGCAACTAGATTTTTTTCTTCAATGGCTAGAATTGTATTCAAACTGCTGCTTCTCTGACGATAGACCCAACATCCTTCAGTATGCCTCATTCCTGTGTGCCTTAAGAAAATAGGAGGCCTAAGCAGGACTGATGGTCCTGACCTGAAAACAGTGCCTACTAACACCGGTTAGTCTAAATCCAAACAGTGCTAAGCCAAGGTGTATAGGCATGTCACAAAAAGATATTCATTCACTCTCACTGGCCTATGTACACACCTGGTATGGTAGCACACACCATCCATGATCCTGTCAGTGTGGGGACTGTCACTCCACTCCACTGAGCTTAGTAATGGTCTTCTAGAGTTGCTGTGGCCAAAAACCATGTCAACTTACAGCCAACCTGGAAATAAGACTCTCTACACCCAGAAAGGTCAGGCCTCGTATGACAGGCACAATCCAGCACATGGCTATACCTACTTGAAGCCTGTCCAGGACCTGTCAGAGCTTACATTCCACAAGCCCAGCCTCTAAAAACCAGGGACCCTCCATAGCATGAAGAAATCTGACAGTAGGACTTGAGTGGAACTCATACCAATAATTATTTTAAACTGCTTTTGGATGAGGACAGACATACAAATGTGCATTTTTTCGTCAATTACCTAACACTCAGAAGTTTGCCATCAAATATTTGGAATAGGAATGAGAAGTTTCCAAGCACAAGCAGCCAGGAAAACAGCCAAGAGGGAATCTCGGCAATCAGGCAGCTCCTCCCTCCTCCAGTTTCTCCTTCCCCCCTCATTGGCACATGCTGCCCCCCTCCCCAGTTGCTCCTAACTCAAATGCTTTTACATCTAGTCCTTACTTGTCTCATCTTCATCCCTTTCACTCATGTTTTCAGATTCTGCACCAATGGGGGCTGGCTTGATAGGGGGTATCCTGAAAGGCCTCCCTTGTCCTGGCCAACAATCCATCCAAGGATCTGCACCCCATCTCACCTGCTTCCACATCTTTCCTCTTGGTTCTCATGGACCATAATCAGGGAAGGCAGATCAAAATATTTTAGTAACTAAACAACTTAAGGCATTCCTGTTAGTTCTTCCAGCCTTGTTATTTATCCCATGCTTGTCACACAGATGACATCTCACACAATTCTAGAGGCATTTATCTATGTGGCTCCTATGTGCCGACCATTGTGCCAAGTGCTCCTATACAAAGACAAAATTAAAACAGTCCCTGCCTTCCAGAAGCTTCAATTCTTCTACTGGGGGAAAACAAGACATGCCCAGTGTGGACACCTCCCCAAACCATTTTGAACCCCATCACCTAAGAAAGTCCTAAAACCTGGATTGGCCAATCAGAAGAAAACATTTTGGCTCACTCTGAGCTTAACCTACCATAATGCCTTCTTTGCATGCTCCGACATAATAGACACACTTTGCTTTGCTCTCTGAGTGAACTCAAAATGCCCCTTCCTGTGTCAGCAACTACAAGGCCTGATGAAGGTGACTAGGAGCATTCTTCTGTTTATGACTATCAAGGACAAGACTCCTTGAACCAGACACCATCTTGAATAATGTGACTTTTCTTATCTTGGTATTCTATAGACACATGTTATATTATGTTATGTCATGTTAATGACAGAAGAAACATAGACATACTGGGTCTATAATTTCAATTGACACTTTGACATTCTCCTATCTCACTGCATTTACAATCTATCCACTTAAGAAATTCCTTTCTCATATTATGGTTAACACATGGGGAGACTATAATTTTGACTGACATAAGCACCCTGAGCCAGGAAGGGAGGAAGGAGTGAGAGGGAATTGCTCTGAAGAAATAAGGTCCCCTTTGTCTGTCCATCCTTGGGTTCATTTCTACAATGAACTTCCACAAGAATCTCTATATACATGTTCAACAAGCTTTGAGAGAAATAAATATACACATGCAGCCTAATTTTGTTTGTCTTTCTGAGAACAAACTCAGTAATAATTGACACCAGAGAAGTCAATAACACATAAATGCCAAGTAGTTTGCACCAAGCGGCTCAAACAATGAGGCGTAGTCCTCCAATGACCTCTCCATTCCCCACTCCACACCCCCCACTTCCCAAAGTACATCAGGCCTATCTGGGAAGGAAGAGCTGCCAATGCTTCACCTCTCCCCAAAAAAGACCCCTTCAGCGTATCTTGCTCCCACTTGAACACACGAAGGAAAGCAGCCTTTTCTTTCCTGATATCACTGGAGATCTGGGAGGGACCCTTGGAATCATACCCCTGCCAGCTCCAGAGTAATTCTGGTCTCCCTACAGAACAAACAGAAGGGGAAAGGGAACAATCATTCTACAGCCCTCATTACCCACACATGAAGAGGGTCCTTAATGTGTTCTGCCCTACCTTTGGGCACTTTTCTGTGGGACCAAATGAATGACCTCTCTTTCTCCCCATTTTTTGAAATAATTCAGCAGACTTATGAGGTAAGAATAAGAATCTTAGGGAAACTGTAATAATGTCAAAATGTGTTTTGAATTCCCAAATGCGTAGGCTTTGACTAGATAAGGATCAAGAAGAAAGAGCCATCTATGGTAAAACCTCACTGAAAAAGATGTAAAAATAAAAAGTTAACAGAGCCGGACGGTAAAGGTAATGGTCTCTAAGCAAGGGCAGATACTGGTTCATACAAGCAAAGTAAAAGCTCTTTCCCCCAACAAAAGAGCAAACCACCTTGGGAAGAAGATGCTCATCACTGTCATTTTCTGACTGATGAGACAATTCTGAAGTGACAAATTGGTCACAGCAAGCTCTACGACGTCTTCATCAGGCTGCCTGGCCCCTAACTGCTGCTCTGCGTGCAGTAAGCTGCACTGCCCCCTGGTGCACACTGCAGGGAGACTGAGAAGAGCACACCTGAAAAACCTCCTTTAAAACAGAGGAGCCACAGTCAAGCCGGAGCAGCCCCCAATCCAGCAGATCTGAGACCCATGAGTGAAAGGGAGGCAGGTGAAAGAAGTAAGGACTGGACATAAAAGTGACCTACACCTGCTTACCATCTCCAGACACAACAGACACTCTTTAAGAGGCTCTCCCTCCAGGGGCGGAGCCAAGATGACAGAGTAGAGGCAGGGACTCACCTGAGCTCTGCCCCAAACTCCTCCAAATACCTTTTAAAAAATGCCCTTAAACAAATTCTAGAGCAGCAGAACCCAGAAAAAGACAGAGTGAAACAAATTTCCAGCTCAAGACAACTTGGAAGACCAACAAGAAAGGTCTGTTGCACCTGGGTGAGAGT